ACTGTTTAAACAGCCAACTGTCCCTACATAACTTTCTGTTATATCACCCAATAATAGCTTATTCATTTATGAAGTATACTTAACTCACAGTGGAAATCTCTGTGGCAGATACTAAGAAATTATATTTCTAAAAATAGACTTTTTGAAGGGTCTCTTTGCTGAATATCGTTTTCTTATTGTTATAGTCGAAATTATTATATTTGTCTTAGTGATAAATAAGCAATAATTACTGTTAATAGAAGTAAACGCCTTCTTCACAAGCTGAGAAAGTTAACATAAATACCAAAATGAGAACAGATTGACGTCATTTTTTTTGGTTAATTAGGTGATGGCTATGAAAGTTAAAGTGGACTATAGAAAATCTCTGGAGGACGAGTATAATTGACACCCTTCTAAATCTTTCCCTCTGATAAGGAGAACAGGTTTTCTACCTAAAATATTGCTTTTCCTGAGAAATCCCTAAGTGCAATTATATATTGTGTTGTAAAAAGAGCAGTGTAATTTTAAACCTGAGCAAAACGTATACACGCTGGCCCACCGATAAGAAGACTCTAGAAGATCTGAACTTCGCAGATGAAATATGTCTAGTGCTACACAAAGTCGAAGACGAAAACCAACAAACTGGCCGAATAGGCAGCGAAGACAGGACTTCAGGTGAACATAGAGAAGACGGAGGCGGTGAAGACAACCAAATAACCAAAGACAACAACAACAACCAACACCAATCACCATCAACGGGAGATATTTAACAAAGGTTACTTCTTTCACTTATCTAGGAAGGATCATTTCAACTAAGGGCGGAACAGATGAAGGGATCAAAGCCAGTCATAATTGGAAAGGCAAGATACGCCTTCATCAACTAGAAATGAGTCTGAAAATCTTCTGCGCTATCTCAGTATAAGGAACAAGATTTGCATTTTCAACACCAATGTCATGTCCGTCCTTCTATACGAGTCAAAAACGTGAAGTGTGTGTCACAAAAAGGATTTCCAATAGCCTGTTGCAGACTTTCAACAACACCTGCATTCGCTGGCTTCATACTGAAGATGAAATGCCAGGTCATGAAGAATTAGTAACAAGAAACAGTGGGAAGAAACCAACAAAGAGCCGATTGCTCAACAAAACATGTAGGAGAAAATGGAGATGGATCGTGCATACATTGAAGAACCTGTCGAATGACATTGTGCTCAATGCAGGCCATTATTCGAGTGGAATAAGAATGGGAAGTGACGAGTGAGTCATTCCAGGGTGACATGAAGGAGATCGTGAGAAGAAGAGATGGGGGAATATGGTCGCTCGTGCACCCAGTTGAGGAGGATGGCAGAAAACAGAAGAAAGTGAAGATGTGTTGTTGAAGCCCTATGTTCCTCTCGGAACCCAAAGGAATAATTTAAAAAAATTATGATTTTATTCATAGCACTCTGATTATAAAATCAAGAAATGAAACCACCTGCTTTTGGTCAGATAGCGCTATCAAAACGTCTATTATTCAATAGATCCAAGAAGGTTCACCAAAAACTATACAGTCCCAACCATCAGATATCAAGTCACTTAGTCTTTGATAGTGTATACCAATGCAGTCAACAAGTTACAACTTAAAAACTCTTATATAATGATATTTTACCATTCGCATCTATTTATTTATATCGGCTGACGTCATAAAATCTAGATAACTCGTTATTCAACTGCGCTTCCTTTTATCTTTGCCTTTAAATAGGTATTTAAATCAGAAGTAGAACGAAATATATGTAATTGAAAAAAATCAGCTTTTCGTTAAAACTTATAGATGATTCACTTCTGATTATGTTCACCGTAAACTAGAGTTAAACGAATTATGTGTAAGTGATAAACATTATATTCACCTGAAATTATTACTGATTGGTTTCGATATGAAACTTTGCACAGATGTGCAGCAGTTCAAGTTGGCACACTCGATTTAGCACACAGCAAGAGAGGAGAGTAAAGAAAGATTCAAGAGAGAGATACTAAACAGAAATGTGAGGCAAAAAGAATAGTAATATGGAAGAACAATAGAAATTTATTAGATATCATAAATCACAAGGAGTGGATGCATCTGTGCCAGCCATCGATAACGATTTTCAGCCATATCACTAATTGTCTCCAGCCTTCATTGGTTTTTACCATACCGACGACCTCAACCAAGCTGGAGGTCTACACTTCCCAAGGTGACTGGCTTGAACTGACTGTTGTGGACTCTATTGACTGATGAAACCATGCTTTGGTTTGACCACCACTCACCAACTCTTTTCCAACCTGATCGTATATCAGCTAACATCATCCATCAAGGAAGGCGATGGCTAGGCTAGGCATGACTAACACATGCCCTAACCATCTCAGTCGATGTAGCTTCACAGCCTCTACGATTGATTTCCCCTCTTTTGCTAACACCAGACGCCTAACCTCAATATTTCTCACCCTATTATACTACTTCAAACGGGAGATATAACGCAGACACTTATGATCAAAGACAACTAGCTTTTTATGTCTTCTACTCTCAACAGCCATGTCTCACTCATAGCCATAAAGAAGGACAGAGCGGACTGCTGAGCAGTACACACGCCCTTTGCCCAACAACCGGATATCACGTCTACTAACCCAGAGATAACGTGAGTTGGCGTATACTAAGCAAGCCTTCTGTATCTGTGCTGAGATATCGTCAGAGATCAACCCGTCGGCACTGTCTGATGCAACTCCCCAAATAAGTGAAGTGGTCAACACGCTCCAACATTTCACTCCCTATCTTCAAGTTAGGAGTAAATGTAGTCCAGTCCTGTAGCATGCATCAACTTACATTTGACGGGAGCCTATTCGCATGCGAAACATTCGAAATTTTCTGCTCCTCAAGGTGTTGAGAAGATTCTGCATTTTGTCAGCGTCTTCACGTAGGAGGGAGGACTATGTCATCTGCATATTCAAAGTCAACGAGATTATCCCCTGGTAACAAGTCACCCCTGAGTCGCTGAAGTTAGTTAGAGTTAAGTCCACTACTATATCTATTATAAATTAAAGAGAAACGGGGACGGACACAACTGGTTGTCACCACTTCAGATGACAACTCTTCGTAAGCTCTCACCTGGCTGATTGAGACTGAGTAGAGTGCCTTGATCAGTGCCACTTGTTTCCCTGATAAATCTAAATAGTTGCCTGGTGTTACCAATCGCCGATGCCTTCTCCATCTCTTTCGCTTTTGTTGCCCACCACTGTTCACGGTCGTTACGAAGACGTCTTGTTAGTTTGTGTTTGAGCAGCTTTCGCTCCTCATCATAATCAGAGCTCGCCAGAATCAATCTCCTTGCCTACATCGATTCGGATGAGGCAGTAGAAACCCACTGGCTCTAACTAACTTTTGGTTTTAGGTTACTGACAGCCTTTACAGATGTGTGTACAGCTAACTGTATGTTGTGCCAGGCTTCTTCAGGAGGAGTCTTGATGTCGACCTCAGATAATCGTTTAGCTATTTCTTCCTTAAATAAGGACTCAGTGTCTTAATTTAGTTGAGAGTGTAACTGCTTCGCTGCCAACAGTATTTCATGCCCGTTTATCCGTAACCATAAATGTGCGCGAAACAGGGTGTGATCAGAGTCTACGCACGTGTTCTAGAAGCACCGGCAGTGTTCTATGACCCGCGTCGACTATCGTTTATTTGAGTCCAACGTTGACTTGGTGATGGAGGTCGCTAGGTTAAGCAATGTCTCTCTTTGTGTCTAAAGTTAATGCTGACTAGGAACAAACGGCTATCTAAACAGAACTGTAAAAGACGATCAACAGTATCGGTTCGTCGGCAGCGGACTCCGTACGTCGACTTACTGAGTAAAATCCCTTAGCACTTATAACGAGTATATATGTCCTATTTGATAAAATTCAACAACAATGATTAACTCTACCATTTCGAATAACGGTAAGTATTTTTTCGCATGGGTATTACTTTTAATTAAGTTTCACAGTTTTCGACAGTAGCTTACCTACCACATACTGAGAAAGGGTGTCATTTCGCTAAATTTAAAAAAAACAGTATGTTTAAATGTCATGAAGAAAATACACTATACAGTGGTATTGAGCCATAAAGTATTATTATCACAAACTGTGCCTCTTTCATTAGAGTTTACACCACTACTTAACACCGTCGACTTTATTACAACATTTAGCTACAATACTACCATGAATACTAATTAATAATAATAATAATAATAATAATGGTAAAGCTTTATTTAAGACAGTATGCGAGTATACGGTACAAAAATTTTCAGCGTGTTCAGTTCCAAAGTACTTTTTCCTTCACACAGGATTCACAAGTAAAGTAATAATCTGAAGTATGTCTTAATTTCGTTGAAGAATTGTACAGCGTTTACTTGGGAGCAAGTTAAATCATAGCGCAAGTTTATGTATAGGTCATTTGATATAACTGGAAGATTAAAACAACGATAAATCCAGATGAAATTAAGCATTTTGGAGGAAAGTAATTTCGGTAGCCCAATGATTTAAGCAGGCCACCAGTGTTTTAGACCCCAATCTCCATGGATTGCTAGTGACCAGTGTCATACGTCTAGTCCTTGGTTTGTACAAACTGAATTCGATCAGTCAAGTTTGCAATCTGATCTGACTCGCTATTGTACTACACTCTGAACTGATGTCACATAGTTGAAGGCGTAAGACTGTAATGCAGGTCAGTGACAAACAATCACAAGTGAGGGTATATATCAGTTTTAGTCTCTTTGACTGCAACACTGGATGACATGAGTTTGAATCTCAAACGGAGCAATGAGTTCCTTTAAGATCACAAATTCATCTAATTGTGATGGGTTGGCAACAGAAGAATGACACCTAGGTAGGTAGGTGTCCAAAGCTTCCTACTGATGCCCTCCAACCATCTAGCATAAATTTCAATCTCCAATGGAGAGAGAAATAAAGTGAAAACAAATAACGGCTAAAAATGAAATATTATTAATATTATTTATATTTTTCATACAATAAATAAGGATGTACAAACAATTATGCACTATATATATATGCACAAATACCTAAATGAATTCCCTTCTTGTAGGAATTCGCATGAAAACAGTAGAACACCACGTTTATTTAATTCAGCTAATAAATAAATAAACAAACAAACAGACAAATAAACGGAAAAATATTAAATGAAAACAAATGAACAAAAGAAATTTTTAATCAATGTGCAAATAAGTATGCTTGCGTGTGTGTGTGGGTGTGTGAATGTGTGTGAAGGAAGGTGTATTTTAGTTAGCTGTAGGCGAAATATTAAACTGTTTAACGATAAACCCCAGTTGACATGATAACAATCAAAAGTTAAAAGTTATATTGAAGAAATAAAGATGTTTGCGTGTGTGTGTGTGTGTGTATGCAGGGAACAAATAAAAAATATGCAAAGAATATATATGCTTGCCTTGTATATCCACTCAAAAAAACACAAAAAGAATGTTATTAATTATAAAACTATGTAGGAAGTTATCATTTGAGCAATAAAGCCAGGGAGAACAGGAGTTGGTATTGGGTATTGTTGAAGTATTTTATCAATAATGGATGATTGATGAAAAAGGCAACAGGCTATGATTTTTTTTCTTGATGGAGTAAGGGTCAAGTCAAACGACAGTCACAAATGACGAGTTTTTTAAGGTACACATCAGCAATAATAGTATTACCACTCACAAACAAACATCCTTGTGTATGCGTATGTGTGTGTGCGTGTTAACTAATGCATCCGTGGATTCACAGGATAATTGACAGAATACGCTGTAAAAACAAAAACACAAAAAAACAAATGAAAGTGTAAAAGTGTAGCACCTCGGTCAAATTAATCGATGGGAAAATCTAAAATTGAATTAAATAATTAATAAGACCCGTTGCTCAAGAGGTGGTTCTCGTAGCCCAAGTCGGCGTTTGAAACTATACAGCCTCTATGGGAACACCATTATTCACTGAGGAATACAAACACACCCAGCCGATAAGTTCCAAGTATGACGAAATGCGCATCCTGGATTCCACTGCTAGTCACCATCCACCAATTAACTTCAATTATAACGTTAGTTTGTAATTCCTATCAAGTTATAGAAACTGTCACACACCTAAAAAATAACACCATATTGAAATCACTGTGAATAAGATGAAGTACCTAGACTGCCTACCTCTTCTTGTATCTACCAATTCAACTGTGCTTGTGACGGAGCGAGTTATATTGGCCATTGTTGAGCTCAGGAACACCTAACAGTGTGGCTAAATAAAGGTGTAGTGAAAACCACCAACAGTTTGATATCAGACCATCCGATCCAAACCGGCTAAAAAACTAGCATGGAAGAATCCTTTTGTATCATCTATCGGGTACCAAATAAGTTGTCAAAGGCATCCAGGTATTGAATACTTCAAACAACAGAGGCCATTGCAATTTGGCGAAAAACACCGTGATCTATGTGCAGAAGAAACAGGTCCAAACACTACTACTACTACTACCCTGGTCTCCTGTGGAGTCTGCAAATTCATAAATATCTTATTACCTTGGCCTTTTTTGACATGACCCTACCCATCCTGTGCATACAAATTCCCCTAACCCTAGTTATCACACTAGCATTAAATAACTTTTTGTTTTCCTGTTTAAACGTAGTTGTTAACTTGTACACTGAAACAAATACTACGCACATATAACCTTCTAAGCCAAATTTTTTCTCTCCCGCATCTTTGACATGATCAATCAATATGACTTATTCAAATACGATTGGTCATTAGTATGTACTTTTGTTTTATATGACTAAGTAATAGACATGCATTTTATTTTATTCTATTATTATGAACCACCATGCTAGTTGTAAAGCGACTGTAGAGAAACTACGAAATGATATCAACTCGCGAAATTTGTCTTTTAAATGCCTTATTCAAATATGAATAGAATCTAATATAAACCTGACTCATGAGAATTCATAACCATAAATTTATTGTCATTCATAAACATTTACTTTGAAATATTGGTGTTCATTTGCTGTTACAACAATATATATGACCATAGACATATATTTTCGACTATAATCTATTAATCTATCGGCTCCCAGTGGCTTAATGGTTTATGAGGTTCCTTTGTAACCAGAAGGTCCTGGATTTGAATATCAGTGGATGCTTACTGTGGAGAGACCCAAACTAAGACGAAACAGTTGTCCAGTACTCCCTGCAGGTTTTTCAATGGTCCTCTAACCCCTGTCAGTTCGTGATGAAATCCTGAAACCAATCAAATCCCTGCAAACCAACATTTGAATAGTAACAATTTATTTGCATATAACTTTTGGAATTGTGACTTCAGTGAATCGATGCTACACTAATATTGTAAATAACAATCATTGTCACATTGTGGATATATAGCTGTAGAACCGGATGATGGCACTATCAAGAAGAATATTCCTAGTTCAGTAATCAATCTCTTCAAAATAAGCGGAGTTTCGCATCAGTGATTTTTATTGCATACCACCTGACACATAACTGCCACAAACAGTCAGTGGAAAATTTTCCACCGAAAAATTCTACCACAGAGAATAAACGATTACTTGGCAACTGTCTGTCTCTATTTGACATAGAACTTTGCACAAATGTGCAGCAGTTCAAGTAGCCATACTCCCTCCATGTAGCACACAAAGCAAGAGAAGAAAGTAGAAGAAATGCATAATACAGACAGTAAACAGAGGTGTGAGACAAAGGAATACTAATAAAGAAGAGCAATACAGTTCGAATGGAAATCATAAGTCACAAACAGTGGATGCATCTGCGCCAGCCATTGAAAACGATTTTGAGCCATATCACCAATTGTTTCCAACCATTGGTTTTTACCGTCCCGAGGACCCCAACCAGGAAGCAGTCTACACCTTCCTACGTGGCTGGCTTAAACTAACTGTTGTGGATTTCATTCACTGGTGAGGCCATGTTTTGGTTTGACCACCGCTAGCTTTTTTCCAGCCTGACCCTATGTCAGGTAACATTGACCGTCGAGGGAGGCGATGACTTGGCATACGTAACACATGTCCTAACCATCTCAGTCTTTGTAATTTCACGACTTCGTCGATTGATTTCCCCTGTTTACCTAGAACTCGACGCCTAACTTCAATGTTGCTCACCTTATTATGCCACTTTACACGGGAAATAGAGCGCAGGCACCTATCTTCATATTCTAGGTCGACGAGATTATTCGCCGGTAGCAAGTCAATCCCTGTGTCTCTGAAGTGAGTTAGGGTTAAGTCCATCAGTACATCTATGATGAAATTGAATAGAAATGGGGATAATAGGTATCCCTGACGGACACCACTAGTCGTCATCACTTCATATGACAACTCGCCGTAAGCCCCCATCTGGCTGCATGAGTTCGAGTAAAGTGCCTTAATCGGTGCAATGTATTTTCTCGTCATTCCCTTTACAGCCGAGTATCGCCAGAGAACCTCTTGGTCGACAGAATCGAATTCCATTATCGGTAAATTTTGTTTTGATAAAGTCTCACAGTGTTATACAGTAATGTTTACTGATGACGTTTCGAGCACAATTTATTGCTCATAATCATATCAAGGTAATCACACGACTTCCTAAATTCATTTATATAATTCTATTGTTTTTCACTTGATTTGGTTGGCAGTAGTATTTTCCATATTTCAGGTATGAATGATGATGATGATGAACAAGAACTCGTCGAGTCTACACCAAACACATGCAATAAGAATGAGTCATCACTCATATCTGAAATATGGAAAATACTACTGCCAATCAAATCAAGTGAAAAACAATAGAATTATATAAATGAATTTAGGAAGTCGTGTGATTACCTTGATATGATTATGAGCAATAAATTGTGCTCAAAACGTCATCAGTAAACATTACTGTATAACACTGTGAGACTTTATCAAACAAAATTTACCCATAATGGAATTACACTCTACCACAGTGCACAAGTTTTATTCTTATATCAAAGAATCGAATTCCGCCTTTAGGTCAAGAAATATAAAGATTGCTGGGAGCCGGTAAGAATGCCTATGATCTAGAATCCATCGAAAGTTGAAGTCGAAAATAAACACCACTGCTATCGAAACTCCAAAGCTTTAGGCTTGAAGTCTATGTTCCACTCGGAACTTAAAAGGAATATAAAATAACATAAATAATAATAATAATAGATTAGTTAATCTCAAAGAGAACTCACATGCATCACTAACGAATACGTTACATTACAGTTTACGTAGATCAACAGTTTTTTTGAAATTGGACAAATTTATTCCTTGCTAAAATTATTGAACATTGTGTGATAGTATGTGTGTTCGAGATTCAAATTATACTTCATGAGAAAAAAAAGTAGAAGTGAAATTGTTGTGAAACTGTGGCTGTCTGTTGGTTAATATTGATGATGATGATGTTGATGTTCGCCATGATGTAATTGCATTTGTGATTCAGATAAACTCAATGATTGTGAAGAAGGCAGACATGGCATTAATTGTGTAGAGTTATTATTATTATTATTATTGTCAATTGAACAGCTACTTGATAAAGAAGATATAGGCACATTTTCAAAATAGGATGATTTTGATACACTAGAAAATTGTTGACTATCAGAATAAGGAGTACGAAATGGTGCAGTTGTTGTTCCAGTATTGATGATATAACGATTAGAATTAGACCACACAATATTCGATGAAGTAGTATTATAATGAGCAGGTGCTGAAGAATGCGGCAAAGAGCCAAAACATTGAGAAGTATTATTATTATTAGAAGAAGAAGACGACAACGAAGAAGGGTGAATTTCGGTTACAGTATGTTTAGAATTATCAGCATAAGCTGCAGCATCAGATACAACATGAGCTATTACTTCATCCAAATGAGTTGTAGTCGCAGTAATAGTATCCAGGCTAGATGAAACGGATACTGGAGTGCTTGATATACAAGTGGTTGGAGATGTGTTTAATGGGTTCGATTGTGTTCTTGATGCGGCTAGAATTTAAAAGTAATACATAAATTTCATGAGACTTTCAATTGATAAAATTGACTAAAACACATTTATGTGTAGTTGATTACTACTACTACTACTATTATTAATAATAATAATAATAATAATAACAATAATAATAGTAGTAATAATGACAACAATAGTAAACAGTGGGACTTTTACATTTGTCAGTCATGCTATATCATCCATCCAATTACAACACACCAATAACTGAATGAAACAATAAACCAAGGGGAACAACATTTAACATACAAAACTGAATAGAATAAATAAATAAATATATGGGGAAGAGCACACAAATAAACATATAAAATTATTACTAACAGTGACAACATAGTCTTCACACAATTCTGTTACTTAGGGCAATATAGATTAAAAAAATGACCAGAGCATACACGCACCCACACACACATACACAAGTACATTAAGATAATAGAACAAACTAAACAACATTGAATGATGAATACAGATGAGAGATAGCCAAAACAGACTTTCAGCCAAATAGTAAATAAACGACCAGAGACGACATAGAAGTAAAGCGATAAGCGAGGGGTAACTACCACCATCATCATCATCATCACCACAATCGCCATTACCACTTACGAGGAATTTACTCGGCAAGTGAATTCACTTTTCTAGGACAAATTTATTTTAAAAGAAAAAAGGAAAATGTGAATGCGCACAAAGCAACAAAACAACAAAAGAAACATAAAAGAAAAGTAATGCTAAAATTAAAATATTAAGATAATTTATTAGTACGAGTTAATCACGAATTGATATCAGTTAGAGGACCATCAAAAACAAGAGAGCACTGGACAGCTGCTGTTTCATCCAAGTTTGGGAATCATAGAGAGTACGCACCCACCAAATATGGTTCGAACCCAGGACCTTCCGATCACAAGGCAGGCTAGCTCGTATACCATTCAGCCACTGGGACCCGAGTCAATGACTCAATGGTATACGAGCTTGTCTTGTAACCGGAAGGTCCTGGGTTCGAACCATATTTGGTGGGTGCGCACTGTCGATGGTTCCCAAACTAGGATGAAACAGCTGTCCAGTACTCTCTTGTTTTTGATGGTCCTCTAACTGCTATCAATCCGTGATCAACTCGTAAAAACAAAATTGATCCTTACAAACCAACTATTGATAATCATTAACACGCTAATCACATAAAATTAACAGTTAAGTGACTGTAAATATATATTTACAAAGACACTTTTTGAAAGGATATTTTGACAGGTAACAACAAAATTGTGTCAAAAATAAGATGTACGACAGCAAAAACAATCTGGAACACGCTTTAACGCCTTAAATTTTCGACTGATACCTACGACTGAATCCCACAACACAGTTTCAAAAGTGAATTCATGTTGTTCTTAATTATTGCCAAAATTTTTTAAAAAAAAACACAGAAATATTACCTAACACCTCACAATAAACACAACTCCTTACACTTTACAAGTATACATTAGGAGGCATCCACGATCCTACTAGAGATCAAACCCAAGGACAGGATAAGCCTGTTGACTGTCTAACCTACTATTGACGACTACCAAAGTCGGATGAAATAGCTATTCAGTGCTCACTGATTTCCAGTGGTTCCTTAACTCATATCATCAGCTCAGCTCGTGGTGTAATCTGAAACCAATCAAATCTTTCCAAAATCAATACTTGAAGACAACTCCTTCAGTTAAAAAAAGCAAACAACAAAGTATGATGATGTACACTAACAACCTGTAGGAATCACATGAAAGTCTGCCTATCCGTTCTCGACATAGAACTTTGCACAAATGTGCAGCAGTTCAAGTAGCCATACTCCCTCCATGTAGCACACAAAGCAAGAGAAGAAAGTAGAAGAAATGCATAATACAGACAGTAAACAGAGGTGTGAGACAAAGGAATACTAATAAAGAAGAGCAATACAGTTCGATTGGAAATCATAAGTCACAAACAGTGGATGCATCTGCGCCAGCCATTGAAAACGATTTTGAGCCATATCACCAATTGTTTCCAACCATTGGTTTTTACCGTCCCGAGGACCCCAACCAGGAAGCCAGTCTACACCTTCCTACGTGGCTGGCTTAAACTAACTGTTGTGGATTTCATTGACTGGTGAGGCCATGTTTTCGTTTGACCGCCGCTAGCTTTTTTCCAGCCTGACCCTATGTCAGGTAACATTGACCGTCGAGGAAGGCGATGACTAGGCATACGTAACCCATATCTTAACCATCTCAATCGATATAACTTCACATCCTCGTCGATTGATTTCTCCTCCCACCTACATAGCACTCGACGCCTAACCTCAATATTGCCTACCTTATTATACCACTTCACACGGGAGATAGAGCGTAGGCATCAATGATCAAAGACAGCTAATCTTTTTGATGTGGTTGTGTTCTCTAAGCTGGATGGTTAATTCGCGAGGCTTTCATCACTATACCGGGTGGCATCTTCAGCGCAACGTAACACATGTCCTCACATGAGAGTAACTCAGTTTTTTACAAATGGATGTCAAGGTGAAAATCAAAACTTGAAAAACCTAGTACTTAGCACAGCAAAACACCACCTCACATGATCATGTACACACGCAATGCATCACCGATCTTCCCATCGCAGGAACTTATGCGAATTGAAATCATTGACATTATATTCAAAATGATTTGCATAGTGAACAAGTCGATTAGACTCTTTCAATTTTTCATGGAATGTTCAAGTAACTGATTCTGTCTGTCTGTTTTCGACATAGAACTTTGCACAAATGTGCGGAAGTTCAAGTCGCCACATTCCGTGTAGCACGCGAAGCAAGAGAAGAAAGTACAAGAAAAGCATAATAGAAACAGTGAGCAGAGGTGTGAGACAAAGGAGTAATAAAGAAATACAAAACAGTTTCATTGAAGATCATAAGTCACAGGGAGTGGATGCATCTGCGCCACTGAGAACGATTTTGAGCCATGTCACCAATTGTTTCCAACCATAGATTTTTACCGTCCCGAGGACCCCAGCCTGGAAGTCTACACCTTCCTACGTGGCTTAGACCAACTGTTGTGGATTTCATTGACTGATGCCAAGTTTTTGTTTGACCGCCGCTAGCTTTTTTCCAGCCTGACCCTATATCCGCTAACATAGCTCGTCGAGGGAGGCGATGGCTTGGCATACGTAACACATGTCCTAACCATCTCAGTCTTTGTAGCTTCACGACTTCGTCGATTGATTTCCCCTGTTTACCTAGAACTCTACGCCTAACCTCCATGTTGCTCACCTTATTATGCCACTTTACACGGGAAATAGAACGCAGGCACCTATGATCAAAGACAGCTAGTCTTTTCATGTCTTCCACTCTCAGTGGCCAGGTCTCACAACCATAAAGGAGGACGGAGCGGACTGATGAGCAGTACACCCGCCCTTTGGTCGATAGTCGAACATCTCGTCTACGCCAGAGTCGGCGTAAACTAACAAATGCGAAACGAGCCCCTTGTATTCGTGCTGAGATTTCGTCAGAGATCAGCCCGTTGGGGCTGATGGTACTTCCCAAATAAGTGAAGCGGTCAACGTGCTCTACCACTTCACTTCCTATTTTTAAACTAGGCGTCGATGTAGTCCAGTCCTGTAACATCATCTTGCATTTGGCGGGAGCGAATCGCATGCCAAACATTCGTAGATTGCGGCTCAAGGTGTTTAGAAGACTCTGCATTTCGTCAGCGTCTTCGCCTAGAAGGACTATATCGTCTGCATATTCCAAGTCAACGAGATTATTCCCGGTAGCAAGTCAATCCCTGAGTCGCTGAAGTCACCTAGGGTTAAGTCCATTAACACATCTATGATGAAGTTGAATAGAAAAGGAGATAATGGGCATCCTTGACGGACACCACTGGTCGTCATCAGTTCAGATGACAGCTCGCCGTAAGCCCTCACCTGGCTGTATGAGTACGAATAGAGTGCCTTAATCAGTGCAATATATTTTCTTGGAATTCCCTTTACAGCCAAGCATCTCCAGAGAACTTCCCGATCGACAGAGTCGAATGCTGCCTTTAGGTCAAGAAATATAATGACTGTTGGACGCCGGTAGGAATGCCTATGTTCTAGAATCTGTCGGAGGGTGAAGATATGATCAATACACCCTCTTCCTGGTCTAAAGCCTGCCTGGCTCTCTCGTGTTTGTGCTTCCCGAGCACCACTCAGTCTACGCATGATTATTGAGCCTAAGACTTTAGATACTATATTAGTCAAGCTAATCCCTCTGTGATTATCACAGGAAGACTTGTCTCCCTTCTTGTATATGGGGATAATCAGTGACTTACACCAACCCGATGGGACTTCTTCTGATTCCCAAACGCTGCCTAGTACCTCAGTTAATCCGGACAGTAAGCTGTCTCCACCGTACTTAAATACCTCTGGCGTCATTCCATCAGGTCCCGCTGCTTTGCCTAGTTTCAGATTGGTGACAGCTTTAGTAACCTCAGTTAGTGACGGAGGACCTGTATCTATATCCCATTCAGGGAGGTGTTGGATGCTCGGAAGGTTGAGCGTGGCTGTGGGCAAATTAAACTGCTCCTCATAATGCTCTTTCCAACGATCCAGTCGTCTATCCTGGAGCTAATTATAGTGCCATTTTTTTCCGAGATTGTCTCACTAATGATTTGTCTTCTCCCACCCGTTTCCCTGATGAGTCCAAAGAGTTGCCTGGTGTTGCCTATCCTCAAAGCTTTCTCCATCTCTTTGGCTTTTGTCGCCCACCACTGTTCACGGTCCTTGCGGAGACTTTTCGTAAGTTTCCTCTTGTGCAGCTTTCGCTCCTCATTGAATTCGGAGCTCGCCGGAATAAGTCTTCTAGCATCTATCAGTTCGGATGAGGCGGTGGAGATCCAGTGGTTTTTACTCACCTTTGGGTTTACCTTATTCACAGCTTTTACAGCTGTATCTATGGCTGCCTGGATATTTTTCCAAGTAACTGATACAAGTGATATTCTTTGATTGAGAAATCATCAAACAATCGGCCCCTTTATGATGCATGTACGGATAAGGATGGAATCTTTTCCAGACAAAATCAGTGAATTATAACAATATAAAGATTACTTAAATATGTTTATTATTTATTTATTTAAACGCAGAAAAAAAACTTGGTACAATAATGCACCAAGAAAGATGCGCCACACAAAATTTCATCTGTTGTGTGAGGGCTGAGATACTACCCAGGCGCCCAGACCGAAGCAGGTAGTTTTTTTTTAAGGGGCCACCACCCCCAAGCTTTTCACTCGGAGTCTCATCCGCAAGGCAGTGGAGCAGCGTTATGAGCTGCATTCCCATGGTTCCCAGTGACCCATATGGGTTCATACGCCATTTGATCCCATTGGATTCTGGAATCCATGTGCCTCACGTTAACTGCTTTTAGTCTAACCGCTATCCAGACAACCTTTCTGACATGGTAGGACGTGCAGGAACATGGGTCTCAGCCAGTTTAGCTTGTTGGGTCACTGCGGTATTCAAACCCGACCACCACGGCAAGGTAGCAGTTGTCGGCCGGGACACACAGTGATACACACATTGACTGGGTATTGGTTTTCAGGAGAACCAAACACACCCACCCCCGCCTCTTGCGAGACGAGACCGGTATGTAGGATCATCCTGTGGCGCAACCACTTGAGAGTCCTCTCCCTTGGTGGACCAACTTAAAAATGACTAACAAAACAGCAAACAAGAAAGTGTTTCACAGGTAGGAAAATAAATAAAAAGAAATACCTTCAGAATTTGTTCTATATAGAAAATTTGTAGTATCACTACTACTACTTCCACCAAGTGGAGTAGCACTTGAATTGCCAGCGTTGTCAAAACGTTGTTGATCAACGATTTGATCATTTTGATAGGTAGACGTTGTAAGTAAATTCATACTGGTAGCTGGAGCGTATCGTTTTTCTTTAGCTGCAAGACGGCTGACTATTATAGGCGGCTCAAATCCAATTTCTTCAAGACCAGCAACAGATGGTGTCCGAGGTATGTCTGAAATCATTGAATTATCTATTGATCCCAGAGAAGATGAAGTAATAATATCCGTATGACGATAAGGATTCACTGGTGTAGGCTAGAGGTGTAAATAAAGATGAATAATATTTAATATATCTGTAAAAAATATGTATAGATCGAATAAGAGTACTGATCAAAAACTGTATGCAACATGCATTAAAGGACAGTGTAACTTTACACATACTCAAATACGGATTTATTAAAAATATAAATTAGAACGACATTAAATTATGAAAACTAAAGAGTAGTAAAACCAAGAATAATAATGAACGGTCATGTAAATGTGTTAATAATTAAGTGATTCACTATCTATTGCATAAAAAATGAGTCGTCATTCAATAACATTGAGAGATGTCTATAAGAACACAATTCATAAATACTGAATGATAACACTTACATGATCATTCCGCTGAGAAGTATTGCTACGATAAACCTGCATAGGATTGGGGTGCATTACCTGTTGATTACTGCGGCTGGTACCCATCATATTTTGGTTATTCATTCCATAATTGGGTGCAGCAGGTTCACCGAGCACTTGATGTGGATTTCCCATCTCAGACATATCTGTGTACGGCATTCTTGATGCCTTAGGTATAGGAGTACTTTGAGCACCAACATAATCACTTTGAACAGATGGATTAGTAGCCGAGACGTACTGACCAGAAACTGGTTGGTTCATTGAAGAAGCACCAGGGGTAACCGACGTCAAGACTCTTGACCCACCAGGTGAGATAGGCGCTGGTCTATTTTGAGATTGTTGATAATACATTGTTGGATGCTGTGCAGGAACCTGTTGTGCAAAATAACCATGTCTCATTGGTTGTTGCTGCTGTTGCTGTTGGTGGTGATGGTGAGTTTGACTTTGTGGTGATATGGAATGATACGGATCATGGACTGCAGCAGGATGCTGTTGCCATACAGGATTACTAATATAGTTATTATATGACTGCCCGTGTGATTCATTAAGTTGTTGGTGAACAACGTTACTAGACTGATTAAAAGATGAGTAAACAAGTCCTGAACATGAACCGCTTTGCGGTCCCACATTGGATTGAGCATGAGGGTGACGAGGCATTACATGTTCCTGCTCCTGTTGAATAAGATGGAGTTGTTGTTGCTGCTGTTGATGGTGATGCTGTTGTTGTTGCTGCTGATGTTGTTGTTGTTGTTGCATAAGCTGCTGATTGTGTTGATGTTGAACTTGACGTTGATGTACTTGCTTAGCTAAAATTTCTTTAAGACGCTGGCGTTCCAAATCTGTACCAGAATAATTGCTTTGCTGTGCATGAGACTGTGGATGAGAACCAGAATAGGAATTTAATGATGAGCCTTGATCAACAATCACTGCTACTGAAGACGATATATGTTCAGTGTTTGAAGACTGGGAAAGGATATTTGATGGAGGAACAGTCTGTGAAGCATCCTCTAAAGGCATTCTACCATTATGTATTCCTGAACTACTACCGGCAACAAAAACATTACCTGGATTTGTTGGAACAGAATGACATAGTACACCAACATTACCAGGGGATGATCCTGTTCCAGGAGTAGCAGGGGCTGAAAATGTGTTTCCTGGAGCACACTGCTGACTGTTAGGTGTACCTGGAGTAGCAGGATGCGAAGCAGCAAACGAATGTACCTGTTGTCGACCGCCTGGACTTTCTGAAGGGACCGAAGACTAAAAATAGAAATAAGAAATGAGTAATAATTATGGATAACACCAGAGATAATCAGAAAAGACACTTGAAAAAGACAATGAGATCAAAGTAACTGGACAAATGTGTGATTCTATAGTAATTCTATAGTCCCAGTGGCTGAATGATACACGAGCTTGCCTTGTAACCGGAAGGTCCTGGGTTCGAATCCCAGTGGGTGCGTACTGGTGATGATTCCCAAACTAGGATGAAACAGCAACTGTCCAGTACTCCCTGGTTTTCAATGGTTCTCTAACTGATATCAATCCGTGATCAACTCGTAAAATGTGAAATTATTGTAAAAAGCACAATACAACCAGGTCACTATCTGATAGAGGAATTAGTAATCATACGATAAGTCTGTTCATAGTCTAGTGTAATAATATACAATGCATTCAATCAACACAGAAGAAACAACATGTACATATATATCTTGATTTATTCACGTTTAAAAATTCCTCTGTATGTGATAACAAGATCGATTATCAACTGGGTTAAAAAAGCATTCATACTGAATTAACAAACGGGTCAACTGTAATTCATTAAAAAAAGTACTTACCTGAGATGAAATGTGATGGCTGCTAGGCAAATTCGTATGATGAGACTGAGACACAGGCGAAAGATGTGGTGATGGCATAGGTGTAACAGTCCCCGTGTTGTTATTCCTCATCAACTGGTTAATATTTGAAGGAGATTGAGGAGGAACAGGTGACTGTGCTGGACTTGTTAATGAACTTGTACCATGAGGTGGATATGGATGCGGAGCATGAAAAGAAGTTGGAGTTGGAGCATGTATTGATGCAGGGGATCTTATTGGTGCAGGAGACACTGAAGAACAAGCAGGTGGTGGAGTTGGCTGTTTTAAATTACTAGGTGAATTTACGCCAGCAGAACCAGTGTTCGCTGAATTCACATTTCCAGATGGAGGCCAGATCGGAGGAGGTGGCGGTAACGAAGTCTGATGACGAGATGGAGGTCTAGAGTTAACCGGTGACGCCAAATATGAAGATCCAGGAGACTGAGTTGCTAATCCTGGCACTTGTTGGGAGTTTTGGTGAGCTGGTATACTACCACCAGATGTATTCAGGTCACTATTGGAGAACGACAAACTCTGATTTGAAGGTGCCTGTGAAATACAAGTTGCATTAAGTGGAGAGGAAAGAAAGAAACATACTTAGATAACATCAGCACTTCACACCCAACATTAACCTATCTGAAAATAACTATTTTCACAGGGAAAAAAAGGTATCACTTAGTCGAGCTAGTAGGCTAAAACATGTTTCTTCTACGCAAATAAAAACTTCGACAATGTGTAAAACGAAATATCTTGGTGATACTACCGTGAAGAATGAAATAAAAAACACCTGACGATTGCAAATGCATAGTATAGGCTTTCTAATTTATTGTACTCGATGAACACGCATGAAATAGACTAAAAGCCTTAAAAACTTTTAAAAAATGTTCGACTAGAATAGTAACAATCAAATTACTGATTTCACAGTAAAAACAATAGCTGGTTTAAGAGCATTTATAAACACCCATGTTTAGATATGATAGAGAAGATTTGGAGCTCAGGTGGATGATTTTGATGTGGTTGTGTTCTCTAAGCTGGATGGTTAATTTGCGAAGCTTTCATCGCCCTACTAGGCGACATCTTCAGCGCATACTTCAATTTGAAGTGAGCTTTTAGATTCGGAATTTCATCAAAAGACATATACCCCCAAGCCAACCTATCAAACCAAAAGCCCCTAAGGAAAGCACAAAGAAAATCACCTTACCATATATAAAGGATATTTCAGAAATCACTACAAGACTCTTCAAACCTTTAGGAATTGACGTCGTACACAAACCAACAAAGTCACTTCACTCAATTCTATGTCAACCAAAAGACTGAACAATGAAAGAAGATAAAACCAACATCATCTACAAAATAAATTGTAACAACTACGAAAAACACTACATTGGCCAAAGTGGACATCCCCTTCGTATTCGTATCCACGAACATAAGCTAGCCGTCAAAAGACATGATATCCACTCCCTCATATCACTGCATACAGACAACCATGGACATCAATTCGACTGAGACAACGTTCAAATATTAGACAGAGGAAACAACAAGAATGCTAGAGAATTTTTAGAGGCTTGGCATTCCAGTGAATTATCAATCAATAAACACATCGAGATAGACAAAATTTATCAACCGATAAGAATGAAACCTCACACACACACACACAAAAGGTCAAAGAAACAATCAGTTCCAATACAAGTAGTCTAGAGGGTGAGAAAACACACAAAAACAAACAATCATGTTCAAGGTCACCCACCAGGAGAGACGACTAATAAACTCATGGAGAAATTTAAAAGCTCACTTCAAAATTGAAGTATGCGCTGAAGATGTCGCCTAGTAGGGCGATGAAAGCTTCGCAAATTAACCATCCAGCTTAGAGAACACAACCACATCAAAAACACCCATGTTTGCTGATTAATTACCCAAAATTGTTGTACATCCTAATAAAAAAACAACGAAGGAAGGAAGGAAAGAGAAGCACTAAAGCTGGATTTGCTAACTGATAACAATAAATAAAGGCAAAGAAAGACTAGAAATTTTATTAAATCAAAACAAAGAGGAATGTTTACATAATTATCAATAAACATATTAATTTGTACAAAAATTAACATTCTCAATGTAAAATTTCCAATGTAAGCGTATACTTCAGAATGATGTAAAAGAGACAATCAGGTGGATTGGAAATGTAAACGTAGTATGAAGTTGTCAGCATACCACTACCGTTGAAAAGAAAGTAACTCGTCAAAAAAAGAAAATTTTAAAACATACGGACCCTATTCTTCTATGCTACAAGTGACATAGTACACAAGTGTTGGTTTGTAGGGATTTGATTGATTTCAGGATAGTACAGGACATAGTACAGTCTAAACAACTAATAAAAAAACAAATATCCCCACAGTAATACATTCATATATTTTCTAGGATGACCAATGGATCTGAATACAAAATAAATCTCATTATTTGACAGGTTAATGTATTTTTATTCTCCTGCTCCTATTCACAAGTAAAGGTAAGCGAAGGGTGGATGTTGTTGAACTTAAGTAACAATTCGTTTATGTTAACCTTCTCATCAGCTAAGATAAATGTATCATCGACATACCGGTAATACATATCCAACTCCTTAATGGTATCCTTTAATTTCCCGTTTTCAAGTTTTGACAGAAAGACGTCAGCTAATATTGGGCCTAATGGTGAACCCATAGCTATTCCATCTACTTGTCCATAGTATGTACATTCATTGTGCATTTAAGAAGTAATTCTTTTAGGCTACACAAGGGGATTCCTAAGTCTAATTGCCTATCGGTGATTTCTTGACAAATATAATCAACTGTTTCCATAAGCGGTACGTTAGCGAATAGTGATGATACATCCATGGATAACATCCGTTTATACCTCACATTAGTCTCGGATATTTTAGAAATAAAGTCGAAGACATCACTAATTCGATGTTGCACGGTTTCTCTGTGCAAAGGACCCAGAATCTTAACTAACCACTTCGCTGTTACGTGAAATGGAGAGTTATACATATCTAAAACAGGGCGAAGAGGAAGACCGGGTTTGTGCACTTTTGGTAGACCGTAAAGACGTGGAGTATTGGTACCCGCAGGTTTCATGGACTCATACATGGTTGGTGATAATACTCCTATTTGGTTCAGCTTTTTGGAGGAGTCGGTCATTTGTTTCTCAGCTCTTACATTGAGGTCTTTGGAAATACCAAGCGATTGAAATTTAGTTTGATCACTCAAAATACCTTCCATTTTCTCAATATAATCGCTTTTGTCCAGTAAAACTATACCATCCATTAATGTATTCCGTAATATCCATGGACGATCACACTACACAAATACATAGAGAAACCGACGAAAATAACTTTCTCAAAAAGTGAATAAAAAGCAATTCGATATCGATCGTCAAAGTACAGTACTTTACTTCTTGCATATTATCCACCAACGCAACCTCTAATGGACAATTTACCTTCTCATTAAGGAACTGAACTGAGTAAAATCTAACTATCCAGTGAAACAATACTACTTCTGTAAGAAGTCATGATGAATAATATTTGCGGCTATAGTGTATTCGTTTCTGTTGGTAGCTGCTACTCTGATGTGGTGGCATATCGAGATGGCATATCGCAATGATTCCACAAGCTAGGCTACCTGGAGTATGTGTTTCCAAAGCTTCTATCATGCTAGAAACGTCTTTGGATAGTGGTTGGTTTAAAAGCAGTAACCATTATAATCCAAGTCAATCACACACTGTGTTAGGAGGGGGGAGTTGAGGATAAAGTTGTATTGCTGACAGATAGGGGATGTGATGGCCATGCTTCCTCTTCGCACTGCAGTCATGAGGTTAGAAAAGAGTAACCTCGAAAATTGTATATCTCAATCTACCTTGCAGCAGTCCATAGCCAACAGCAAGATATTCATATGAACACAATTCTGAAATCCATTTCAAACAGGTCGTGTGACTGGCATCAAGCAGCTGTCCTCTGCGCTTTTCAATAATGCAACACTAACACTTTTTCAGAAAGAAGAAATTAACTTCAAAGGTTTGAACAGTCTGTATGCAATCAGCGCTTACACATTTCTTGTATGCACGCAAAGCTTGAAAGTGTATTAAGAAAACCATTGCCTATCCTAATTTTAAAAATTTAGGACTGAGGAATCATTCAGTGCTAAGAATTCACATATACTTACAAAGAAAGAAAATTATGAACACACATACACACACACACAAATAATTACCTTGGTTAAAGTTTGATTGCACATGGAAGGATGATAAGGAACAGTGGGATCGACAATGCTAGAAGTTGAAGGTGTATGAGATGGTATATTACGTTCCTGAATATAGCTACCATTTGAAGATTCAGTAGTTAGTGAACTATGCAATTCTTTCGTCTGAATAACATGCTGTTGTTGTTGACTCTGTAGTTGTTGCTGAGATGATTGACTCGGCAACTGTTGCTGGTGTTGTTGATGGTGATGAGGGTGATGATGATGAAGAAGATTCTGTTGTGGAGAATGTGCAACCCCTTGGTGTTCAGACTGCATATGATGAGGTGTACGATTTTGAGGATGATTGTAAGTTGAAGGAGATTCTAAGCTATAAGACAAATCTGATCCAGACTGCAAAGAGACCGTTTGATCTGCCAATGTATTAGATTGACAGTATGGTTGTGTAGGTGATATTGTGTTAACTGTCCCTCCTGAAGCCATAGTTGTAGGAATATGAGTTTGATTTGAACGTAATGTTGTTCGATTGTTACGAGCTTGTATCTATAAACCAAGTAATTAAATATTATTCGCACTATTTTATACTCAAACAGACAATCTAATGAGAGAATCAAGGTTAATATTATGACCACTATTATCAATTAAATAAAACTAATAATTACTTACCACCCAAGTTCCACGTTCTTCACTAGAAAGTCGACGCCAGAGTTTACTTATTTCTTTAGCACGAACAGTAAATTCTGGATATTGACCGCGTAATGTAGGATGTGATATATTTGCGTGCAATACTGGAGCAATAGTCGACTGACCACCTAAACGTTCATCTTCTTCCCATTTATGATAATTAATTCGTCTACTAGCCGAACCCGAGGTATTAGAATTCGAACTAGACAGACATACTTGTGAATTGTTCGACACTGTACAGGGCAGAATGTTTTGTTGATTTGAACGATTTAAAACATGATGAGTGTTCCCATCAATGGTGGGTGACCTCATTAAGTCTGCAAAACATTGAATATAGATGAATTCATAATTTGAATTAGAGTTAACTGTATAATGAAGTTGAAAAAAACGATTACAACACAGAGATATATAAAGACAATCATTAAAGGGGAGGGATTACATCATCTGCTCAGTTGTATTTGATCATAGGTATCTGTGCTCTATCTCCTATGTTAAATGGCATAGTTGGATGAGCAATATTGAGGTTAGACGCCATGTTAGGTAGGAAAAGAAAGCCAATCGATGAGATTGTGGAGCTAAATCAAATGAGATGGCTAGGAAATGTGTTACGTATGCTGAGCCATAGCTTTCCTCAACGGGCAATGTTAGCGGACTTGGGATAAGGTTGAAAAAGCGCTAGTGGTGGTCAAACCAAAACATGGCATAGGTCCATAAGATCTTGAACAGTTAGTTCGAGCCATGTTGGGAGTTTCAGCCTTCATGGTTGGGGTGCTCGTGATTCTAAGAATTAGTGACTGAGGACAATTGGTGATATGGCTCAAAATCGTTTTCAGTGGCACAGATGCATCCACTCTTTGCGATATGTTATAACCACTAAACCCTAACGTTTCTCCATGTTACTACTCTTTCTTCCTCATATTTCTACTAACAAACGTCCTTTTAAATCTCCTTTTTTCTCTTTCTTGTCTTTCACTATGTGCTAAATGGAGTGTGGCAACTAGAACTATTGCAGAGAAGTGCAACAGTTCTGTGTTGAAAACAATCAGTCAGTCATTTTCACAGTTGCCTACACCATAAAATATTAATCCATCAAATTTGAAATCGTCAAACTACGCACCTTATAGAGAAAAATTAACTCATTTTAGCTTCTTTTCTTCAACATCTTTCATTAATATCCATCTAATGTCGATTTACTTCTCCATACTGTTAGCAAAACTAGATGAAATAGTTCCACATAACCAGAGTGATTTTAATTTAATGAGTTCTTTTCAGTGAACAAATCTAATTCCAATCAGAATCTTAGTCAACAGTTTATGTGTTATCAGTTAAGTGTTCTGCCAACTTCAGTATACGGGCCAACTTATAAGTTAGCTTCAATTTTGACTAATTATCGAAAGTTTTAAGCAGCCATTATTGATGTGAACAGATTTTATTCTAGTCTAATTATGTCAAAAGGTGAACCGAACAAAAGTAAATGATATTTCAATTTAAGTAATTAGATATGAATACATTGAGCCATTGTGATGGGTTTTCAATGAAACACCAACCTACAGTTTCAATTTCTTCATGAATTTCGACCTCAGAAACTACGCTGCTTAGAAAAATGAACAGCGATATGAAAGACTTGTGTCATTAATAGCCGCTGTTAGTTTTCATCTGACAAAACTCTATTTCACTCAACATGTTGTGAGTAATATGTGGGTATACTCTTTTACACTAATTGTACTTTAGGAATATTCATATGGAAGAACAAGGTACATTAACATTGCTGTCATTACTATCATCCATTTAACAACAAGCAAACCAGATTTAAATAATGGAATCAAACAAATAAAGGACGTATTACTAGTGAATAATTACCCGTTAGAATTTGTTCAGAAATATATAAAGAACCACAGAAAAAGTAAGACTAGCAATAAAAAAATAGCGAAAATAATATAGAATTCAAAGCCTCTGCAGTACTGCCATATAAAGAAGCAACGTCAGAGGTCTTACGTCGGATTCTCAATGACGCTGGAATCACGATGGCATTTAAGCCAACCAACCAACTCTCTCCAAGATAAACTTTGTCGGCTTAAGGACCCCCTCCCCCTCAACAGATCGAATTAAGAAAAATAATATAATTTACCAAATACCATGTGATAACTATGAGGACAATTACATAGGTGAAACTAGTGGATTGGGGTTAACTAGATTACTGGAACATAAAAATTTAGCTAGACCTAGAATAACTAACTATGATTCCATATTAAATAAGTTTATCTTAAACATCACACAGTGATGCAGTATTAACAATTGGATGATGTTTCGAGCATAAATTATTGCTCATCATCATATTCATTTGAGTCTAAACTAAAACAGACTAAAAAAGAATTTATACTCGAAACCTTGTCATCCAGTTGTTAATACTACCTCGCTGTGTGATATTTAAAATAGAAACTTATCTACCACTGTGCCCAAGTTTTAAACTTACACTCGAATAATTGACGCTGCTAAGTTAAATAACTTAGAAAAAAGCCCAGACACTGGATTGCATTCACTTGTATGTAATAATCACAAAATAATGATGGGACAGGGTGACAGTATTAAAAAGTAATATATTTAGGTGGAGAGAAAAGTTGATCACTGAACCTATGTTTATCGACTCAACATCGTAGACGTGCATTCGGAATGACGCAACGCCTATACCAGAGAGATGGAAAGTGGCAACAAATAATAAAGGGAAGTTGCAGAGAGAGAAACAGAGAAAATATACATAAGACAAATTGTGAAAACGTGTGGTAGTAATAATTTATGCTCGAAACCTTTTCATCCAGTTTTTAATACTGCATCACTGTATGATATTTAAAATAAACTTATCTAATAAGATATGACAAAAAATATAATTTACAACATTATACTCCTAAGAGAGTAATCGTATTCGAGCAAAACATTCGACAAATACACACTTACTAGGATTAGGCATATTACAAGGACTCTGTAATTCAGTAGAACATCTTAAGATAACTTCTTCAGAACCACTGTTAAAGCGTAGAACACCAGATGTAGTAGCATGCGGAGATAATGAATTCGGATGATTTGTAAATTGTCGAGAATTAGGTGAAGTGATATGCTCAGTTTGATAAACATGTACAGGTTGATTGTTGTGTAATGTATTCTGTCCATGTACAATCATTTGCTGTTGTGTTGGAGGGGTACGCTGAAGTCCACTGGAACCATGCACAGGATGTGATACACACGAACGTTGTATATATTCAACTGGAGTGTTTTGTTGACAACACACTGGAATAATATGTTGAGTATCCATAGTAACATTGGATTGTGGCGATGACATAAGTAGTTGGGTTGAATTCGATGCTTGTGGAACTAGACACTGTCCAGTAGGAGAAAGCATAATAGCACCTTGATTGGATGTAGAAATCAAACGTGAATGAGACTGTTGTTGTTGCTGCTGTTGTTGCCACATTCCAGGTCTTATCACTTGAGAAGGATATGGTGGTGGAGGTGGAGGAGTCATTGTGTTAGGTGATTTAGGTTGTAAAGGTTGAGAGATGAATTTTCCATGTCCACCAACCACTGAAAGATGTTGTTGTTGCTGTTGCTGATGTTGCTGTTGTTGTTGTGGGCCTGGTTGAGGAATTGGACTTTGTAAAACTATAGGTGAATTAGACTGACGTTGAATTTGTTGGTGCGGTGGTGCTGATGGTGGTGGTGGTGGTGCTGGTTGTTGCTTTTGAGACTGAGTCAACACACGTCCAGGAACGGGAACAACATGAGCATAGAAGTAGGATGGTTGTGAACCTCGAATTTGTACTCGACCACCTATAAACAAACATTAATATTCCAAAATGAATATATATCACTATTTACAGATAGATCAGTTATGGCTATACGTGTGTACGCCTGCTATAAAAACAACCAATACAAAAGATATTAGATATTAACCATCAATAAAGTTAAAATATATATATATATATATATATAAATTCGTAAGCGAATACGCCTACCTAGAATCAAATATTTCGAATCTTTATACAAACTCACAGTTTACTACTGAATAACTAATCAATACTATAATATTAATAAAATTATCTAAGGCTTAAATACTATTACAAGAATATAAAAAAGAGTATTCATCTCGTAATTCTATATCATACTGATGTATATAATTTTGTATTTTGTCATCATTTAAATAAAAAGCTGGATTATTATAGCAAAAAAACTATTTAAGATTTATTCGTTAATATTTTTCACGCTATAAATTTTATTCATAGACAGACAGTACACCCTATCTATCTAGGTAGGTGACCAAGACAAAAAATAGTATGAATGGCAGTACAATATTCACCTTCCATAAAAATAACTACTGTACTCTGATTATTACTAATAATAAGATTGGATTTAGGTGAGATAGAAACACTTTTAAACTGTTATAACAGGCTCTAAATATAAGAAGAAATGCTAACGGACCTATTTTACCTCGATTCTATGGTAGACCAAAACTATACAAACCAAAATTCCCTTACGACCAATCGTTACGCTTCCAGGAACACCAACATATAATCTACTTAAAGAAATTTTCAGGAAATTAAATTACCTAACAGAATCATGCGACCATTCTATCAATTCGTCAATTCAATTTTTAGAGAGAAAATTAAAAACATTCAGGTAGAAGACAATGAAATAATGGTGTCCTTTGACGATGTCACAGCATTATATACTTCAATTAGCCCAAAACTAGCAACAGAAACTATGCAACAATTGCTGTATAGTGATGAAAACATAAAAACGCAATGTTCAACTTGGATAGAACTCATAAAATTATGCCTTAAAACATACTTCCATTTCAATACTCAAATATATGAGCAAATAAAGGGAACACCAATGGGATCGCCCAAATCAGGATTAATACCTGAAGCCCTTATGCAAAGATTAGAATTAATAGCTCTACCTATAATTAAACCAAAAATCTGGGTACGTTATGTTGATGATACATTTGTAATAATTAAGAGAAATGATTAAGAATATACCCATAAATTAAGAAACAACATATTTGAAGACATCAAATCCACCAAAAGAGAAGAAGAATTAGATAGCAAAATCCCATTTTTAGATGTCTTAGTCAGGTGAACTAACATAGGAAATTTAGAAACACAAGTATATAGAAAATCAACGCACACAGATCAAATACTCAACTATACTAGCAATAATCCAATTACTCACAAACGAAACTGTGTGCAGACATTGTTTAAAAGAGTTCAAACACATTGTAGCACTCCAGAGTTGAAAAGAATGGAAGAAAAATACCTACAAACGGCCTACAAAAAGGTTATCCACAAAATTTCATCAAAAAGTGTTTAAAATCGAATCATAACACCAACAAAGAACCGTCATCAAAGACCACAAGAAAATTCATCTTACCATACATGAGAAATATCTCTGAAATAACAGCTAGAATATTGAAACGGCTGGATATAGATATAGCACACAAGCCAGTCAAATCGCTTAATTCGATATTATGCAAACCGAAAGATCCAACAGAAAAAGGGATAAAATTAATACCATTTACAAAATAAATTGTATGAACTGTAACAAGCATTACATCGGCCAAAGTGGGCGTCCCCTTCCAATTGGAATCCAAGTACACAAATCAGCCGTGAGAAGACACGATATATATTCTTTAGTATCAATGCATATAGACAATTACGGACATCAGTTTGAGGATTGGGATAATGTCAAAATCTTAGACAGAGGAAACACCACCAAAAGTGCAGTCAAAGAATTCCTAGAAGCCTGGTTAGTACTCAAACGTATATGCTATTAACAAACACGTTAACATAGACGAAATATACCAACTAATACAAAGTAAATCAGGTGACGAGAAAGTTTAAAATCCAAGTCAATAGAAAATGGTCAATACATACATAAAGATCGTTACCGGGAGACGCAATAATATCACTCATGAAGAAATTTAAATCATTTCACTTTATGCTAAATATTGCGCTGAAGGAGAATGTTGTCCAGAAGGTGGACGACGAAAGCTCCGCAACTAAACCAACCAGCTCAGGGAACACTATTAATCGCAAATTATCCACCTGAGCTACAAATCTTCTCTATTATTTCAATAAACTCAACTGCCTAGTGAGTTAACCAAACAGTGAGAAATGATCAACAAGTATAGAAAAGAAAATTACAATAAGTGATAAAAAATATATACCTTGGGAATCAACATGTTGTTGTTGCTGCTGCTGTTGCATCGGTCGAACCTGATTCTGAGGAATAGGAACTGTAACAAGAGAAGAACGAGATATTTGATGTTGTTGAATATTGACTGGTTGATTGCTTGATTGATATTCTAAACATTGTTCTACCACCGGCCGATGAGAATACGGTTGTCTAATTGGATCAGGATTTGAATGGATTATATTTTGGCGTTGTTGTGGTATACGTTGAACAGACATCTCAGACGGTGGAGGTGTTGTACTCAAATCATTATTGAAAACAGTATTTTGTATTATTGATTTTGGACTATCATCAGCTAGAGTCGGTTCACTAAGCTCAAAACCTGTAGAGGGTCCAAGCTGTGTTTCAATGTCACTAACAGATAATTCAGGTAGATTACCTGTTAGAGTATTAACACAATGACGAGGATGAGGTACAGGGACATTTCTTGAGGGAACAGGATCATGGTTACTGGGTGTTTCCCGGGAAGATAAATTATATGAACCCATAACTGCACTATTAGGGTGGTATACATCAGTAGAATTAGCCAACTGATCCAATGAAGCATCAGGAGGATCGTTAATTATATGAGATGCCGTTTTACGAACCTGAAAGTAAGAAATAGAACCAATTGTATGTGAAAGATTGTATGAAGTATGAGACAGTGCAATACTTAAATTAAAACCACAATAAACACTGAGTGGTAAATGCGAAAGATCACTCCAACGGCAATCATAGAACAGCGACGTTCAGGGATTTAGACGATTTGAAATCACCAATTGCCCCCCCCCCAGTTGCACGAATCCGGTCAGCACCCACACTAAATAATAGACACTTGAAAGTGGTTACTTTCCAATAATTGACCACTGTACTCATTATAGGCACACAGGTCAATCATAACTCAAATAGCTCTGAGGTAACGTTTCTGACAGCAGCACTGGGTGGTGCAGGTTCAAACCACTAGATTGACACCAATTCTATCGGGGTTTGAGATACAGTTTGCCAAAAAAATAGTCCCAGTAATCACAAAACCTACGTCGAGGTATTTCTGTCGACTACCTCCAACCGTTTAACATCAATTCAAAACACTGACAATTCTTCAACACGAAAAGTTTACCCTGAATTTTCAATTTAATTTAATTCATCGTAATCCATTGAACTAGCCCTATCATCCCAAATAAAACAGGTTGAGAATTACAATGTTTTAGTCAGAGTTCGTCGCATCAATTTGATACCATAATCTAACCACTTCCTTGTCACAGTAAAATACCAAAGTTAGTACACTTTTAAGGTTTGGTAGCAACAAAGAGGAAATGTAGAACTCAAGTCCCCAAAAGTTCATATAGATACTAGATCCTATAAAGAGTGAGGCCTTAGCTAATGGGGCAAAGTCGCTTGACGAACTGACTATGAAGATAAGTCTTTAAAAATTTACCGATTTGCCTTTTAAAAAAAATATATGATTACAAACCTGTTGCTCTTGACTAAGCAGATGTGACTGCGGTGTTTCTGTAATTAAATTACGCTGAACATTACTTGGATGTTGATCTTCCATGACTTGAGAATAGACAGAAGATGGATAATTATATTCTGCCTTCTCATAGAGAGATTTATTGACAGAGGTATGGTGATGCTGCTGTTGACTGTGATTATCAAACGGTGGATTTATTAAATCTTGTTGAGCAACAAATTGCTTTAAACACGTTCCTCCTTCCGAATTAGTAGGCTCTTTTATTCTTACAGACTCTGCAACTTCAGACTGATAGACAACTTTTTCAGAGTTTGGAAAACTTTCCATTGGTTGAGAATGCTGATTATTATTCTGAGAGTGAATAAATGATACATGAACAGGGCTTTCATCAGTTGAGGCTGACGGTTTCAATGAATTCTTCGATGGTTGCCCCACTGGTAAATGATTAGGATTTTGAAGTTGATTTGTTACAACATGATCTGTAGACACTTGTTGTGGTGTAATATCATTTAAATCAGTTTCTTCTGTAGAAGCCAAGTCTCCAAATCCAAACAAATAATCATCCATGAACATAAGATCAGCAGCTTCATTTAAGCCTGATGTTTATGAGAGAAAAAACGCAATTTATCAAGATACATTCAATAATTTCATAAATACTGGAAAAATTATACATATGAAAATAATAGTGCTATCAGAGAATGGCCGGTGGATCCACATAGGAATTAACCCACAAATGACCCAGTTTAAGTTGCTACACTTCCAAGAATTACACAAAATAACAAAACAGACAAAAATGACACTAGAGTATACTAAGATGGTTGTGTGATGAGGAGGATGATTCAATAAATCTTAGTGAAGATTTCCAGGATATGGAAAATGGTGTATCAGTAAATATACAGATATAAACACGATTTCATACATGAAACACATCAATATGTTTATATCATAAAAAGGATCAGTTATATAACGAAGCACTCAATTACACAAGGTTAGCTCCTAAGATTTTTACGTTATGATGGCACTGCCCTACTTTCTGTTACCAGACGTTTCTGGTTTACAGCTAAACGACACAACAACGTGTTTGACATTAAAACAGCATTGATGGGAGCCTAGTACAATCAACTACGAGGACAGGGAATGTCTGTCTCACACTAACATTTGTCTGCTGTTATTATTATTACAGTTCCCTTGGGTTCCTAGTGGAACATACGGCTTCAACTGTACGTCTCCACTTGCCACTTCTGTCTTCTGCTCTACTTTTCACCTGCATCCATGTTAGTCCATACTCTTTCAACTCCTATTCACACGATCTCCTCCATGTCACCCTTGCACTGACGTCCCACTCGCCGCCGCTTCCCTTCCACTCGAGCAATAGCCTGACGCGCGCGCAATGTCACCCAGTGGCCTCCTCAGCGAGTGTCCAATCCATCTCCACTTCCTCCTGCATATTTCTTGGGCGATTGATTCTTGTTTTGTTTGTTCCCATAGTTCCTTGTTGGTGATTCTTTCCGGTCCGGTCATCTGATCTTCAGTATAGAGCGAAGACAGTTGTTGATGAAGGTATGCAACAGGCTGCTGGAAATATTCTTTGTGACCCGCCCGCCAAGTTTCTGATCCGTATAGAAGAACCGACTGACTTGACATTTGTATTGAAAATCCGACCGAATTTTGTTGTTGATGCTGAGTGACGAAGATTTCCAGATTGGTTTCAGGTTGACGAATGTGTTTCTCGCCTTCCCGATTTTCGATTTGACAGCCTCGTCCGCTCCTCCTGTAGTTGAGACAATGCTCCCTAGATAAGTGAATGAAGTGACCTCTTTCAAATCCCTCCCGTTGATGATGATTGGCGTTGGATGTTTCTGCTGTTGTTATTATTGGTTGGTTATTTTCATAACCTTCGTCTTGTCTATGTTCACCTGTCCTGTCTTCGCCAGCTGCTTCTTCGACCAGTTTGTCGGTTTTCGCTTGTAAGTCCTCGATTTGGAGTGACATCAAACATGAATCATCCACTCGCGAAATCCAGGTCTTCTAGGTTCTTCACGTCGGTTCAGGATATCCCTGTCTTCTCGTTTCCCACTGTCTGACGCATAATCGTTGTGGATCACTTGACATGTGCCGTTGCCGTACAGCTGTTGAATAAAGTTGATGAATATTTGGGGTACGCCGTTTTTTCTACTGCGATAACTTTAATTCCCTGCTTTTCTATTTGATATGCTCTTCCCGATTGTATAAAGCTTTGCGTTGATTCATTAATCAATCATCAGAAGTGGAGAAAATCCTGCTTCCATGCGGAACAGTTTGCTATCAGAATGGAATATTTGCCCACACAAAGTTGTCAGGCCTTGAGAACATACGGTTCTCATTGTCTCCCCCTACTCTCTCTCTCTCTCTTTCTCTCTCTGTATACTCATGGAGAATATAAACTATGATATAACCCGACATTATCCAACATCTCTGTGTGACAATGACCAGAAATCAAACTCTCTTCTATGCAACATAGTATTAGTCCACGGTCATGTGTATTCGTTTCGTAGTCTTGAAAATGCATTAGACAGGTAAAACCAAAACTATTTAGTACTCTTTTACAGAAACTGGTAGATGCAAACACTCTTTAATTGTATTCACCTAATTGTTGGATAATGTTAAGTACAATATCAACCTACTTTTACTGTTTCACACTCCTGTGGAAAAATAAACAGAATTCAATAATGAAAAGTTTTAAGAAATACCAATAAAGGTTTACCTGCTGGAGTGGCAGCTTGTGGAATCGAATTCACACTTGGTCCTGCTACGCTGGTAGTTACAGATAAATCAGATGATTGCTCCTGAGGTAAATGGGTAGATGACAAGTTAACATGTTGTTCAAGTTCCTTATCCGAACAGTGCAGCACACCTGGAGTACGACTTGACTGATTAGACCCAAGTTCAGTGGAAGGATCGAGTGGAGTAACCAAGTTTTGTGATTTCGGACTTAGGTGACCAGCACTCGTTGAAGATATCTGGTAGTTATCACGAACAGTGGAATTAACCGAAGGCTGAGGTTTGGTAGATGGAGCTTGACTACTACTACTAGTGTAGTTCAACGCAAAAGACTCTCGAGACACATTAGTATCCAAACTATCCGCTAGTGTGGTGTCCGATCGTGTTTTTATTATATCTGAATCTGCTGAACTTTCAGCCATTTTTATTTCAGAAACTCTTTCAGTTAACTGGTGAGTAGCAGAGTTCAGTGTAGCTGATAAGTCTTCATCCTCCTCCAGATCCAAAGCTTCATTGTCCATTTCATCTTCAATGTCTTTCAGTTCATCGAAATCACATAAATCGCCATCCACATCATCATCTTCATCATATTCTTCATCCCCGTCATCGATGTCGTCTTCCTCATCAAGTTCTTCGGTGGCATTGTCAAATTCTCCATCTTTCGATCCTGATTCTATCCATTCTGTATCGAGACCCGAGTCTTCCGACTTAGTTCGATTCCCAAGGCGGGCAGCATTACTTTTCTTTACATTTACACCGCTCTACATTCGGAAAATAAAATGAATGGCAAATGTTAACAGGAAAGAAGCAATGAGCTCACTACAAAAACGATGAAAAAAGGACTTAATTTGCTCTTAGCTGAGGTTTCAGTTAGCAGATGCTCTAATTTCACCCCAGACATCGTGAACAGTGTATCAACGCTGCATCTTCCCGTGAACCCCAGCTCAAACAACAACAAAGTTTAAAAACTAACAACTCGAACCATAAATATCCCCCCTGTCAATTTGAAATTTGATTCCCGACTGCTTACTTTTGTCTGTTTTGAAGGACGAAATGAAGGAGAAAATCCCCCTTTATATTGCTTGGCTCCAACAACGGAATCGGATCCACCTGGACGAAGACGATTTCTCTTTTTTCTTAGTGGTTTTCTTTTGACTAGAAGTAGGCTAGCACCATAGAAAGCTTTCATTAAATAGTCAGGATAACTATCTTCCAACTGAGATTTCTTTTTGTTTTGGCGTCGACGTTTATTATCTGACGCTGGTGGGCCAACAAAAGGATCAGATGATGCCGCGAGTTGAAGTTTTTTCGCCTAAATTTAAAATTGTATAGGAAAAGAGTTAGTTGCATACTGTGAAATAAAAGTCCAGTGTAATACATTTAGAATAACTTGAAGTAAAAAAAAACCCGTCTAATCACAAAATTGAAACAACGTACTTGCTGTGCACGACTTGGTTTTGCTCGAAATCCGCCAATACCCAAATTTTTCAAATATCGACTATTTTTCGAATTGTTTGTTGTAATTTTACCGTTTGCTGATACAGAACCAGACGAACTGGTACGACTGATACACATCGATGTACGCTGAATACACGTAAGATAAATAAAGGATAATTAAGAACTCTCATACAAACAGGAAGCGATATCTCATGTCCATGAGAAACCCTAAAGAATCACTTGAATTTGAGGAATTATTAGTACTGAGGCAATCTATGAAGCCTTTGTGGGTATACATACATATATACATATTAATTTAAGTACTGTAACAAGATGCTCGTAGAAAATGAGATCTAAGCATTCACGACAACAGCCTTTAACCACTCCATAATGTCTATTCACACCGACTGGACGATCGGCTGCTTGTATAATCAACGATGATATAACATCAAGAGGAATGTGTTCTACACAGTGACCTAATTAGTATCGACAATTTTCGAATAAGTACCGTTGAAAATTGAAGTGATTTAACTTCGATATATATATATATATATATATATATATATATTATTATTATTATTATTATTATTATTATTACTATTATATCCTTTAATTCCTAGAGGAACATATGGCTTCAGCTGCGCGTCTCCATTGCCTTCGGTTTTCTGCCAACTTTTTCACTCCGCTCCAAGTCTGCCCACATGCTTTCATCTTCTCTTCACATGACCACCTCCAAGTCACCCTTCGACGACCAACTCGCCGCTTCCCTTTCGGGTTCCACTCGAGCAATGGCTTGTCTTGTGATGTCACTTGATGGTTTCCTCAGAGTATGGCCAATCCATCTCCATTTCTTACTGCCTATTTGTTTCAAAATCGGTTCCTGGTTGGTTGGTTCATTTCCAGAGATCCCTGTTGCTGATCTTTTCCGGCCATCTGATCTTGAGTATTGAGCGAAGACAACTGTTAATGAAGGTCTGAAGTTTGTTTGAGATGCTTTTTATGACTCGCAATGCAAGCCTCTGATCCGTATAGTAGCACTGACCCCACATTGGAGTTGAAGATCTGGATCTTATTTTTGATGCTGAGTGCTGTTGACCTCCACACAGACTTAAGAGTAATGAAAGCTTCTCTTCCTTTTCCGATTCAGGCTTTGATATCCTCGTCCGATAGGTACCTAGTTGTTTGGTAGAGTGTGGCGAGGTCTTCTTTGCCTGCAGCTTCTTCTGCTTCACTTGCCATGGCTTCAAATTTTCTTTTGTCTTCCTTGGCACTCTTCTTCATTCTTTTGTTCAGTACACTGTAGCTTGTATTCAACTCCTCTTTTTGTTACTCATCAGTGCACCGGATAATCTTTTGTTTCTCTATCCTTCTCTCTTCTTTTAGTTTCCAAGTGTCCGTAGTGAGCCACTGTTTGTCCTGCCTCTTCTTTCTGCCTAGAACTTCCATGCAGGTTTGACTCCACACCGTTTTCAAGTTATCCCAGTGCTTTTCGACGCCGACCTCTTCGCTAGTGTTGATTTGTGTCTCGGCCTTTTCCCTTATGTTTGCAATGAAGATGTCCTTTGTATCTTGGTCCTTCAGTTTTTGGGTGTTGAACTTGGCTTGTAGTCTACCTGCAGCTCCTGTTTCCCTGAAATATATATATATATATATATATATATATATATATATATATATATATATATATATATGGAGAGAGAAAGAGGAGGAACTTTACCCACAGGTAATAAAAATTACCATTGATTAATAATTATAATTATAATTATAGTATTATGAAAAACGACAGGATATTATATCACTGGAGAGAGAGAGAGAATGAGTCTTAGTTTTCAACCTAGAACTTCACACAAAAGTGTAACAGTTCAAGCAGTTCTTGAAAGAACCTTCGGAATTGGAAATCTTCAAAATATCATCAATTCCATATACTACAGTATTTGATAAAAACAGTAGCTAATCAATAAAGTACAACTAAATAACTCAAGTTATTTAACGAAAATAAGAATAAGCAATAAACAAACAAAAAAATACTGAGAACACACTAATCATGAGAAAATTACTTCAAGTAAACTGTAATAACAAAAATGATTATTAACATGAAAAAAAGGAAAATTAGAATACAATCAACAGTTAAACCTTTTTTCGTTTGTATACACCCTTTGACTTCTGAAACAATCATTAATAAGAGAATATATATATATATTTTGATTACAGCTTGATTCCACACCGTATTTTTGGTACAAGTATGGAATTTTCAGCGTGGATATCGGTGGCCCAAAATTCGCAGGCCAACCACAGATATCAAGTGTGCGTCGGCGTGGGCTCGAACCCCGGACCATGTGCATGGTCGGCGAGAGTCCTAACCACTGTGCCACCGACACACATATTGTTTGTTACTAATATTATGCACACTATATAATAGAATAGCGAAGAAAGGAACATATCTCGACAATGCGCTCTTTAAAATTTTACAGCTAAATGTACATATGAGTTAATTAGGTTAAATGAGTTACCCAACCATCAGAAGCTGCAACAGTTCAGTTGAAACCGTCAGTCAACACTTTGTACAAGAATACCAGGTGCAATCCCTACTACTACTATGACCTGATGTGAAATATACAAATTAATAAATACCAAATTAAATTATGCCTTTTAAGTTATAATCTTAACCAGTGAGAGTGTATAAATCGTCAACACTAATTTTCCTGAAGAATTCTATACTCACTTATGGCTAACACGAACACCAGTTTCACTCAAATGAAAAATATATACTAAATAAGACAAGAGGCATGATATCTGCAATCAAATTCTGGATGAAAAAAATGGCTGAATGATCCAAAAGTCTGATCTCGTAACCTAAAGGTCCTAATTTCGATCACCAATGAAGTCGTGGGTTCGTGCTGATGAAGAGTCTCAAACTAAGATGAAACAGCTTATCAGTACATCCTAATTTTCTATTGTTCTCTAACTGACATTATAATCCGTGATCAAAGCTTTTAAAAAACAACAAAAACTTACTGTACTATCTTGAACTGAACTATTGCCATCCTCTTCTGATTGTAAACTAGGTGACTTCCAATCCGGATAATTCGATAAGTCGTTTTCAGCATCAACTCCAGAATGTAAAGAAGCATCTTCGTCAAACTAAAAACAAAACGTATGCAAAAATTAAACCAAAAAAGCGTTAAAAAAACTATCAATTCGTTAATATTCAAGTATTGGTTGGTCTACGAGCTCGCCTTGTAACCAGAAGGTCCTGGGTTCGAATCCCGGTGGGTGCGTACTGCTGAAGAGTCCCAAACTAGGACGAAACAGCTGTCCAGTACTCCCAGCCTGTTTTCCAGTGGTTCTCTGACTGATGTCAGCTCATGATTAAATCCTCCATGCAATTCGTTAATAGTTGGTGTAACCCGTAAAATAATGAAATAATAAAGTGAACACAATTCTCTTTTTGTGTATGTTCTGGACTGTCAAACAGATTGAGTACAATTCATTTTCCTCTTGAATAATTTTATTATCGTTAACAATTTTCTCATGAGAAGTCATCAAAATTACATTACTATTAATGTGGACTTAGCAAAATCCTCATGAAACACGATGAAAGCTTATGGACTATACAGATTGTACTCTTGTAGAATCAGGGAATATCACTTAGAAATACAGTATTATCCAAAAGAAACCAAGAAGTATACGTGTAACAGGTGATATATATTAAAGATAAACAGACTGAATAATAGGAAGACGTGAATGTTTCCCGTATCAAGGAAAAAAGGTAAAAGGATAAAACTTGGGCACTATGGTAGAGTATAATTCCATTATGAATACAATTTTATTTTGATCAAGTCACACAGTGTTACACAGTATATATTTACTGATGACATTTCGAGCACAATTTACTACTCATAATTACATCAAGGTACTCATACAACTTTCTTACTTCATTTATATTTATGAGTAAAAAAAAACTCATTTGACGTATGAATAAAATTCAATAAAAGTTCAATAGACATACGCGAAACAGACAGTCTAAATACCTATTGGAATGCATTGGTTTTTAATAAAAACTAGTGTTCAGTTTACCTTCTTCCGTTCATTTTATTTTGGCATAACTAATTCTCCTCGTTCATTTTCTGATTAAAATGTGAATTCTAGAGCCTCTACTAGTGAGTTTATATGTGTCAAGAAGCTAGAGATATGTTCTGTTTTCAACACTGTGAAAGTATCATTCACATATCTCCACTATATTTTTGGAGTAGGATTAAATGCATTAAGAGCAACATTCTCCCAGCTGTCCATAAATATGTCTGCTACAATAGGGGATATTAGTGATCCCTTCGCTACACCTACCGGTCTACATATTTTTCCTTGGAATTTAAAGGCAGTAGATGTGAGGCATAACTGAATTCCCAAAATAATTTTATCAATGGGCAGCTTTATCCTATGACTAAATTCGGAATAAGCAGCCAGTTCTCTTTTAACTGCTTTTAAGGACATATTTGACTGGAAAATTAGTGTAGAGCCTGGTTATATCAAAACTAATCATTTTTTCATTAATCTCTAATTGAATTTCATTTAGCTTCTTTTTCATCTCATATGAGTTAGTTAACCGAGAGTTTGAACGATTTATGTAGGGTGCTTGAAACGCCACCAATAAATATTAAGACTGTGTAACTTCAACAGAATAAATTTTATCCATAATGGAATAAGAAAAAGGTACTTTTTAAAAACAATAGTCTTTAACCTCTACAAGTGTTCAGATGACTAGTTCGATTCAGCATTTTACAATTCAATAAAAGTTAAAAAACCCAACCCAACTCAAGGAACTAATTTCAGTTGGTTGTACTGCTTAGTAGCCCAAAGATTAATACATGGAACAAGGAAGGTTTAAGACTAAAAAACATGATTTAAAATCAAACACCTGGTGTAACTTGTTAATGCTTCATCATAATTTATCAGTTACACATGAATGATAGATCACACCCCCTGCATATGAAATCAGTCAGTAGGTAAAAATGAAGTGTAACTCACCTGTCCATGCGGTGCACAAGGAGTTAATTCAACAGGTGTACTATCGCCTAAAGAACAAGCTGAAAAGGAAATAAGATGAGGGATATATATTACCATTATTACTACTATTAATGGGTAACAAAGTACTCCAAGCATAGAAAAAAACATTTCGAGTTAGTGAAAAGTGATTGATGATGTGCATACCTTTTTCATGCTCTAGTTCAATTACAATACGATAATATTTGGGTATAAATTCTAGGCAAATAAAAGCATATAAATTTAATAAAGCTGTCATAACAGGTATTTTCCACTTTATGCTAAGACTGAATCGAGTTTATACAAATCATTTGTGATGTAACATATACATGTATTGTTGATAAGTGAGAACCGATTCAATTAAATTGTGATTTTATTTAAGCTAATTATTACTAACGGCTTACATTATTAAATTAGAGTTCTGTTGCATAAACACTCATCCAATAGAAAAGTAGTAGTATTACAACAGTACAAATAACAAGTGTTTGTTCTATAACTCTAACTATACACAACTACATAAAATGAAGGTCGAAACATACAACTGAACGAAGATACACCTCTGACATGTATCCACATATATATATATATATTTATGTGTGTGTGTATGGTGATCTCTCTTTCTGTTTGCTCGCTTAGTCTGTGACCTTTTCACTTTGATGAACCTGTCTCCTTTAACAATGTATATTCTCCTTATATTATATTATATATAATATGAGTGTTTGTTGACAGTCCGTTGCTTGGTGACATATATCCATATATGGTGGTTGTTGACATGTCTGCTATATTTCGCTATGTATATATGGATCGATACTTCATTATAATTAGCCATTCATGTTAAGACTGTCTAATGATTGTTCACACCCTTGTCTGAACATTCATATATATATTTCGCTCTCACAATTTGTGTGACACTACTTACTTACTTACTTACTTTGGTGTGATACCACTTTTGCATTCTCCTTGTGTTTGGAAAATAGAAGTATCATCGCAAACCTAGTGGCCTTCTGATTTCCGCCTTCTTGCGTCAGGACTATTAAATTCTCGACCAGTACATAACAATAATTTAGCGACGAGTACTTAACAACCTCATAGACTATAAAAAGCCGCCAGACAGCAGTGACATGTACTTTTCAGACAGACAGACTATTAAGGTAAGTGCCTTCCATTGACACATTTCGAAAGAGCACATACAAGCATGAAGTTACTTATTATGCAATCATATTACAATGCATCAAAATGATTATGAAGGGCAAAAGAACTAAAGACAAAAAATGAAAGTGAGTAGGAAGTTTTTTTCAAAAAAACATCTGTGTGGCTATAAACAACTTTTAGTCATCTCATCCAGAATCCCTTAGTCCCAGACAGAGATGTTTAACATGTCTGTTACTCTAAATAGTGAACGCACACTTCACTGTCTGGTGGAAATTCTACGAGTTAATACCATATTATGAACAGTCCTAGTTGAGGTAAAGACAAATCATAATCCAACTAAATTCCTTGTTCAGATATGCTGTAATGTTAAGACAGCATTCAAAAAGTACATCTAAATTACATAATAGTCCACTTATTGACTAGCTATTGGTTTTCGGGAGAATCGAACACACCTATCCTTACCTCTTGCGAGACGAGATTAGCATGCAGTATCATCCTGTGGCGTTACCACTCGAAAGCCCTCTCCCTCGGTGGATCAATTCGACTGCTTCATTACCTGTAGACAGATAAGATGCAACTGCAGATCACGGGAAGAAAACGACTCCAAATAAAGATTTTGAGTCGTTATACAGAAGAATTCAGTTACCTAACCTTCTGAATTCAGGAAGTTTCTGGTATGAAAACAATAGCATGAAAGATGATTTGTTTTCCTATTTTATTCCTTTGCGACCCAAGTGGAATATTATGCTTCAGGCTTGAACTTTGAATTTTCAGTAGCAGTGGCGTTAATTTTTTATGGAGTGGGGTTGCTAGTCTCCCACTCAACCTCCCCTCATTACAGACCTTACTCTACTGGCTTAGGTTTAGGAGTGTGTCGGTCGACAATCGAGCCCAAGATCAAGTAGGTGGTTGTCGAGCATTCTACCACATGAAAAATATTCTTTCCAAAAAGAAATTGGCAATCAATAACAGTTGTTACTGAGTACGAATCACATTTTATGACCAAAATGCAAAAGATAATAAAAACAAGAATATGTATATTACGTGTCATAACTTACATCCATTATCAGTGTTCAACTGATTCTGTTGGTCGGAAAGACGTCTTTGATTTGAATGTCGTTTAGGTTGACTTTTCAGTAAAGCTTGTTTAATGGTATTTAACCCACTTTCACTGAGAACAACACCATCCATGAAAAATTGACTGTGTAATACAGAAATACAAAAACAAACATTCAAATTAAATAAAAAAGTATAAAGAACAATATATTAGTTTATAACTTATCAGAAGTATACACCTACCGAGTATCATTTAAGCTATTGTCTTCATCTGCTTGTGAACGTGTTAAACCAGCCATATAAGCAGAATATGGAAACAGTGAAGGCTAAAATGAAGAGATGAAAATTGTAACTCTCATATTTCATTTGCCGTAGAGTACACCATTAAAGCACATAAAAGTGAATAATGATTTATGATAAGCAAAAGAAAAAAAATATTCATTATGCTTTGTGGTTAGAATTTGATATTCAGGTATTGCTGTATTCTCTGGATAGGATAAATGAACTGCAAATTGTGGAGAAATTCCACAAGTTAATGGAGAGGATTTGGTTGAAGATAACATCTTATGGAATGCAACTAAAGATAAACTGTGCACTCAGTAATCAACCCATCTAGATGTCTGTCTGTTTTCGACATAGAACTTTGCACAAATGTGCGGTAGTTCAATTCGCCACACTCCGTGTAGCACGCGAAGCAAGAGAAGAAAGTACAAGCATCTAGATACCTAAAATAATCTTGCGCAATCATCATTTACCCACATATAACGAAGAAGCTCATCCTGTAATATAGTTACCAAATAAAATTCATTCTTAAATGGCCATGATTAATATATTGAAAATAAAGAGCTATTAAACATCACAACTAGAGTAGATGATGTATATATGATATCACGAATACAAATATGGCGTGTGCTACTAACAAGCTTTAGAAGTAGTATATAAATACAGATAGAAATATGTATGTCATCTACAAAAAATATCGAATAGCGGAGAGATGAAGTTAATGGTGATGAGAAGAAATAAACGATGTTGGTGTGCAGCAACATTGGGACCCTACAATATGGCCGATGCACTCATTTAACTCGATAAACCAGTAATAAGACTGGTAAAGACGGAGGGGTCGGGCATGAGGCTAGCAACCTCATCCCATAAAAATAAGTACCACTGCTATCAAAACTACAAAGGTCTAGCTTGAAGCCTTATGTTCCATTGGGATCGCAAATAAATAATAAAAAGTATGATAGACATATTTCGCCTACATCTGTCTATAGAGTTGCCAATGAACTGATCCGTTGCCAAATACTCTTGTGTTCTGCCGTTACACGAATGTCATTATTGCTCAAATGATAATACAATTTAAACACTAATCATGATAATGAATAGTTTTAGAATACATTGGTCTTTTGAAGCTCGTACACTAATCATTTTAACAAGTATATTTTCCTCAATAAACTTAAGAGGGTCAAGTTAAAGTATAGCGATCCAAGGGAGCGAACACACCAGTGAGAGGAAAAAACCATATTCGCGAAGAAATGCTGGGAAAGGGCAGTACGTCTGAATAGGGTACCTTTCTTTATGTTTTTCTACCTTTATTTGGGATGCTTATCTCTGTTTCTCTTCTGTCACGCGAACTGGACGGGTTAATACTATTGGTCGTTTGAAGGCCACTGGTGCGTCCAATCCCCTTGCGTCACTATTCCTTACCGTTGTCTTTAAGAGAATTAACTTTACAAACTAACAACATGTGAAATGCTAGAAATACTCCATAAAAAAAACTTGGTAAAATCAGTTATTTAAGCGTATATATGAGTAGTCATGGCTATATTATTACGTTTCGAGTGAAAGCAAATGTGAATTGTACATCATAATAAATCATAAGACTTACTAGTTTATCAGTGAACAGATTTTCAGTAATTTCACCAAACTTTAAGTTTTCTAAAGCACTAAGATTACCATTAGCCGCCTGTCTATAAGCCAATACCTAGAAGTGAATTCAATAACAGAAAGAAGTGCAAAGTTAATTGTGATCACTACACAGGTGAAAATAAAAAGTCAATAGTAATGGCATACACCCGGAGTTTTTATCTAAATAGCATCCCGCTAATTGTCATGAATTTTATCGTGAATTTCTTAAAAGCCTTTTGAAGGCATTTTTCTATGCATATGATAAATCAGCAAAAACGAAGACACCGAAGTCCAGTCACTTAGACAGCACAATAAGCTGAAACTATAGAATTGTGATCAAATGAGTGACAGCCTTTTGAGCTATATTTTCTTTACTAATAAATACAATTTCACTAAAGGCACTGAGGTGAATAGATAATATACTTATTCATATGCTTGGCTAAAAGTATCTACGAGTTTGACCACGGATTGATATCAGTTGGAGAACAATCGAAAACCAGGGAGTACTGGAAAACCAACTGTTTCGTCAGCCAAGTTTGGGAATCCTCGGCAGTACGCACCCACCAACGGGGTTCGAACACAGGGCCTTCCAGTTACAAGGCAAGCTCGTATACCATTCAGCCACTGGGACCCAATTCATTGGCTAGTCCATGAATTCTAGCTTTTACCAATTCGTGATTTAGCGCGACTACCAAATAGTGTCATCGGCGGGAACTCCATCCTCACGCCTGATTGGATGGACCTCACGACTTCTCAATAGAATTCCCGGAAACTCCGTCCTGTAGCAAGTCACTAGCGAGCATCAGATTAGTTTTCAAGAATTAGTTTGTAAGGATTGTGTTTGTTTTTACAAGTTTGACCACAGGATCGATATCAGTTAGAGAACCATTGAAAACCAGGGAGTACTGGACAGCTGTTTCATCCTAGTTTTTTGGGAATCATGGGCGGTATCTCTAATAATTTTTTTAATGTACTCGGAGTAAGTCTTCTCAAGATTACCAACGGGATGTCTGCCTGTCTGTTTTCGACATAGAACTTTGCACAAATGTGCGGAAGTTCAAGTCGCCACATTCCGTGTAGCACGCGAAGCAAGAGAAGAAAGTACAAGAAAAGCATAATAGAAACAGTGAGCAGAGGTGTGAGACAAAGGAGTAATAAAGAAATACAAAACAGTTTCATTGAAGATCATAAGTCACAGGGAGTGGATGCATCTGCGCCACTGAGAACGATTTTGAGCCATGTCACCAATTGTTTCCAACCATAGATTTTTACCGTCCCGAGGACCCCAGCCTGGAAGTCTACACCTTCCTACGTGGCTTAGACCAACTGTTGTGGATTTCATTGACTGATGCCAAGTTTTTGTTTGACCGCCGCTAGCTTTTTTCCAGCCTGACCCTATATCCGCTAACATTGCTCGTCGAGGGAGGCGATGGCTTGGCATACGTAACACATGTCCTAACCATCTCAGTCTTTGTAGCTTCACGACTTCGTCGATTGATTTCCCCTGTTTACCTAGAACTCTACGCCTAACCTCCATGTTGCTCACCTTATTATGCCACTTTACACGGGAAATAGAACGCAGGCACCTATGATCAAAGACAGCTAGTCTTTTCATGTCTTCCACTCTCAGTGGCCAGGTCTCACAACCATAAAGGAGGACGGAGCGGACTGATGAGCAGTACACCCGCCCTTTGGTCGATAGTCGAACATCTCGTCTACGCCAGAGTCGGCGTAAACTAACAAATGCGAAACGAGCCCCTTGTATTCGTGCTGAGATTTCGTCAGAGATCAGCCCGTTGGGGCTGATGGTACTTCCCAAATAAGTGAAGCGGTCAACGTGCTCTACCACTTCACTTCCTATTTTTAAACTAGGCGTCGATGTAGTCCAGTCCTGTAACATCATCTTGCATTTGGCGGGAGCGAATCGCATGCCAAACATTCGTAGATTGCGGCTCAAGGTGTTTAGAAGACTCTGCATTTCGTCAGCGTCTTCGCCTAGAAGGACTATATCGTCTGCATATTCCAAGTCAACGAGATTATTCCCGGTAGCAAGTCAATCCCTGAGTCGCTGAAGTCACCTAGGGTTAAGTCCATTAACACATCTATGATGAAGTTGAATAGAAAAGGAGATAATGGGCATCCTTGACGGACACCACTGGTCGTCATCAGTTCAGATGACAGCTCGCCGTAAGCCCTCACCTGGCTGTATGAGTACGAATAGAGTGCCTTAATCAGTGCAATATATTTTCTTGGAATTCCCTTTACAGCCAAGCATCTCCAGAGAACTTCCCGATCGACAGAGTCGAATGCTGCCTTTAGGTCAAGAAATATAATGACTGTTGGACGCCGGTAGGAATGCCTATGTTCTAGAATCTGTCGGAGGGTGAAGATATGATCAATACACCCTCTTCCTGGTCTAAAGCCTGCCTGGCTCTCTCGTGTTTGTGCTTCCCGAGCACCACTCAGTCTACGCATGATTATTGAGCCTAAGACTTTAGATACTATATTAGTCAAGCTAATCCCTCTGTGATTATCACAGGAAGACTTGTCTCCCTTCTTGTATATGGGGATAATCAGTGACTTACACCAACCCGATGGGACTTCTTCTGATTCCCAGACGCTGCCTAGTACCTCAGTTAATCCGGACAGTAAGCTGTCTCCACCGTACTTAAATACCTCTGGAGTCATTCCATCAGGTCCCGCTGCTTTGCCTAGTTTCAGATTGGTGACAGCTTTAGTAACCTCAGTTAGTGACGGAGGACCTGTGTCTATATCCCATTCAGGGAGGTGTTGGATGCTCGGAAGGTTGAGCGTGGCTGTGGGCAAATTAAACTGCTCCTCATAATGCTCTTTCCAACGATCCAGTCGTCTATCCTGGAGCTAATTATAGTGCCATTTTTTTCCGAGATTGTCTCACTATGATTTGTCTTCTCCCACCCGTTTCCCTGATGAGTCAAAGAGTTGCCTGGTGTTGCCTATCCTCAAGCTTTCTCCATCTCTTTGGCTTTTGTCGCCCACCACTGTTCACGGTCCTTGCGGAGACTTTTCGTAAGTTTCCTCTTGTGCAGCTTTCGCTCCTCATTGAATTCGGAGCTCGCCGGAATAAGTCTTCTAGCATCTATCAGTTCGGATGAGGCGGTGGAGATCCAGTGGTTTTTACTCACCTTTGGGTTTACCTTATTCACAGCTTTTACAGCTGTATCTATGGCTGCCTGGATATTTCCAAGCTTCTTCAGGGTGAGCACAGCTGTCGAACACAGATATGTGTTTAGCTAGTTCTTCCTAATACGGATTTAGTTTCCTGATCGAGCTGGGGACGTGATGGTTTTACCGCCAGCTGTTTCCTACGTCCGTTCAGTCGTAAGCACACCGCGGACCAGTGTGGTCGGTATCTACACGTGTTCCAGAAGGAGCGACAATCTCCTACCGACCCACGCCAACGATAGCTTATTGCTATGTGGTCTATTTGTGTCCAGCGTTGGTTTGATGAAGGGGGTCTCCAAGTCAAACAGTGTCTTCCTTGTGTTTAGTTAGTGCTTACAAGAAACAAATGATTATCAGCAGAACTGTAGGGTCATCGAACTGCAGTCAGTGGGGGCGTAGGCGGAGATTCGAAAAGGCATCGGCGAGTAGTGCAGTCCTCTCTTACTGACCGTTCAGGCGGACAGCACCGGGATCCAGTCAAGAATGTTTTTCTGCCCTAGTACTCAAAGCTATCCCTACGCCAGCTATCCTCGTGAAGGTGAATTTTGAGATTCAACCTGTTGGCCAGGTGGGGTTAGGTGAATAACCACACTTGGGTTTGTATGCGTGTTTCTGAAACACACATATCATGGCTCGGAAGGAAGGCAAGATGATAGAGATGAAGATGAGTATGTACTTAGATTTTGATAGGCTACAGTCTTTACACTCAGTTAGAGAAAGAAATTAAAAATGCCAATTAAAACATCATACATTCAGAAAACATACTAAGCTATCCCAGTTTTACAATTAAAATAAAAAAGCCTTATACCAGGCTGAAATTGATATGCTTTAAAACAAAGTTAACAGATTACGGTAGCAGTTAGTTCCAAGAATCTCGAGGGCAAGAACTGCTTAAAAAGTGTATGCACTACTGAAAAAATAAACCAAATCCCCTAAGAATATTACACGCCAGAAATGAGGGCACATCTGATGTATTCACATTACTGCAAACAGAAATTTTAAAAGAATATTTCACGAAGAACTTACCTGAGCATGTCCTGCTCCTATTTCAGCACCCAAATCACGACAAAGAAGACAATTGTAGCCTAAATCCGTAGCTAATTCTAATTCATCTTCAGTACGCAACTGATCACAGTTAGCATGAGCCCATCGAGTACATAAAGCACATCGAATGAGTAATTCTTCTTCACGATAGGCTAGATTACAAACAGGACAAGTAGTAAGTGATGCGCATGGTGCACATATTGAATAATTAGCATGCCATTTTCCATTTACACCTGGATCCCGTTGACCACAGTTAGTACACACAACACAATCGGCACATTTCCAACCACCCTAGATAAAATGTGGAAAAGATACATTTAGAAAGTATGGGGGAAATTTTGTCGCTAAATAAATCTATTAATAATGGGTTTATGTTAGATAAAAGTTTAAAGGACGCTTCCTAATTAATCATTTAAAATTCAATATAATATAATACCAAAGGTAAAAATGTTTGTAAACATACTTTTGGTACTTCTTTTAATGGAGGATCCAAGCAATAAGTATGAAAACTGATATCACAATCATCGCACAAGAGTAAAAGGCTTTCGTTTGAAGTTCCCCCACAACCTTCACATACTGTACAATCTAAACATCGCCAACCTCTTTCAATCATAGTTCGAGTTATTTTAGGGACATCTGCGCAGAAGGAATGATAGCATTGACCACACTGTGAACAAGCCAGAAGTGGAGTATCCAAACCAATTGATCCGCACGCAATACAAATATCCTGTTCCAGCATGAATTTATCATCGGAGCGACAAAAAACTACAGTACTAGGATGATCATCTTTCTCGTCAGGTGTTTTTGATTCATACTATTTGAAATAAACAAATTTAAATATATTAAATTAATAAAAACATTTATCTTGACTCTGACAAGAATAAGTAAAGAACTAAAATCAATGAACAGCTGAATAAATTAATTATTTTCCTAATGGTTGGCTGAAAAGGCTGAAATAAACAACGAACAATCGAATTAGATATCCAATAATACATCATCTGGGCAACTAGTAAGTCGTAACGAGCTCTGAATGGACTACATCTATATATATTATAATATATTATATGAGTTGATTTTACTAATCCTCTTTCTAAATACACAGTTAAATACTAAATAACACATATCTTAAGCCACCTGAGTAGTTAGCACCATATAGCTTTGTTCAAATGAAACCCAATGAAAGCCGTAGTATACGCTAATAATTCATAACTGCAGAGTAGCTGAGTAGCCAAACTTAATCATGCATACCTAAGTTTTTACAAAAGTAAAGCAATATAAAACTAAATATAGACTCATACCCTATTTTATTTATTAATTTTTTAAAGTGTTGGTTTGTAGGGATTTGATTGGTTACAAGATTTCATCATGAGCTGACATTGGTTCGAGAACCATTAAAAAACCTGAGAGTACTGGGCAGCTGTTTCGTCCTAGTGTGGGACTCTTCATGAGTACGCACCCACCGGCGTTCGAACCCAAGACCTTCTGGTTACAAGGCAAGCTCGTATACCATTAAGCCACTGGGACCCGATCCAATTGCGCATGAATTCTAACTTCTGCCAATTCACGACATAGCGCGACCCCTAGCTTGATTGCACACAGTATTTGGTACAAGTATGGAATTTTCAGCATACGATATCCAGACTCACCATTGATATCAGGTGTGCGTCGGCCGGAGACCGAATCCCAGACCATGTGTGTGGTTGGCGAGCGTCCTAACCGATGTGCCACCGACGCACTACAAACAACATATAAGGGTTACTAAATTCATTAGCTACTCAAACCTTAATGAGTTCAATCATTTAAGCCAACAAGTAGAACCTATCCATGAATAAAATAATTCTCAAATAAACTGAAGAGGTAACAGAGAAAAAAAACATAAAACCTACCGTTGTCATTTTCCGAGTTTTTGTACGCCTGGATCTGTTAACACTATTTGAAGTTGCTGATGTGTTCGTCCTTTTCAATGCACCAGTTTTTGTAGTCGTTGTAGGTGTTTGAGCATTGGTACTGTTCGACTGAAATCAAGAAATACTAATGCTTTGATTCATAGAAAATAAGACTAACTAAAAAATATACCAAAATTGTAAACCATACTATTCTGTACCAATTTGAGGTAGGTATAAAGTAGCAAAACAAAACAGTCAAGATAAGGGTAACGTAGCTAGATAATTAAAAAAACACAATTCTTTACAATTCTCGTTGACAATTTTTACGCATAAATGAATAGCAATCATTCAAATATGATATCAGTAGTGTCTAAACACTTATGAAAATCTAGCAGTGTTTGATTAGCCTACTTTCAATAGCTGACTGCGAATTGACAATAAGCCTATGAATAGATTGCGCTGATAACTGATAAAAGCCAAATGTGTATAATATAGAGGGAGAAATATTTATTTTTCCGTGTATATTGATCCAAAAGTAGAAGTCACGATTCACAAAAGGTGAATTACACTAGAATAGTGAAATATTCAGTAATTTTAATTCAGAAAAAATTTACTGATTTTTTACCATGAGAATTGTGAGTCAGAGAGTCAATGAACTCGAGCTTATACAGAGTTTGTTTTCCGAAAATGTTCTACTGCAACATCGCTTTCTGATTTCTCCTACACATTGAAGACACTAAATCGTTTTATTTGAAAATAAATCAAACAGAAATTCATTCCAGTAGTCGAAATTCTCTATTTATGAAAAAGACATTTTAAAACCGATAATCTGTAAATTAGGGATGCAGATAAGGAAATAAGTGGTTCGTAGATAAAACCAAGTGACTAGTCACGAAGAAAATTCAATTGAAAAAAAGGAATTTTTGACAAAAAATAAACCGATTTCACGAACCCGAGTTGCTGAATTTGTTTTAGTTGAATTGGAGTCGTTAGCTTGATTACTTCCTCGTCTACGTCCAGTACTATTACTACTACTAGAAGATTGATCTAATGTGGACCGACTAGTTGTAGAACTTGTTACAGATTGTTTACTGTTATTAGAAGTCACTTTAGAATGAATTCGTGGAGATCCTGGAAAATCTTGATTAGTTAACTGTATCTGTTGTTTCCCTGGTTCAGTGTTTGGAGTTGTTGAATTCGATGTTGAACTAGACGGTGTATTCACCCATGTACTTCCATTAGCTCCAGGACAAAGAGAACCTGACGAAACACATTGACGAGCATTATCATCTAATAATTCTCTGCCGCCTTGTGCGAAAGCATCATCAATCATGTCCCCACAACTGTTACTGCTGTTACCGCCTCCGGGAACTGGACTCGCTCGGAAAGATGCGGTAGTTGAAGCAACCTATAAATATCAAAATTAAATAAATCGAAATTCCACTGAGGACATCTTACCACTTCAGTTTGATTGATATCACTTACATAGGTACTTTATACAAAGGGATTTAAACACAATGAAATAATAGTAGTGAGTGAATTAATCAAAGGTGTGCCTTCACTGAAGTGACATCGTATGCACTAATTGAATATACGATACATATCTAGAAATATTCCTCCTTTATTTTTTCAAACAATCATTCAACAGTAAATACTAATTTTAGATAACAATTAAAATGATTAGACTGGATATTTCATACACAAGGTAGGGATATATTTTATCCTTCAAACACTTATTATAAACTGCATTGTACGCTGATAAAATTTCAGTGAGATTTGAGACTAGCGAGACATAAACTACATAAATTTAGATCATGAACTGACTTCAGTTGAAAAAAGTACCAGAAACCAGGTAGTACTGGATAGGTGTTTCGTCCTAGTGTGAGACTATAGCATGGCCCTGGGCTCAAGCAGACCTGCCAGTGGGGTCATCAAATCCTTTAAAACTAACACTTGAAACCTGCATAGAGGAATTACTATTCCAGCCATCGAATTGCCACTTTTACAAAAAAAATCTAAAACCCATCGAAAACTAATTACCAAAGGTTATCAAAAAACAAAACTAAATTATGATCTAACCTATACAACTTAGATGAACCGAACTGTATTATAAAAACCCTTTTGCAATGAAGAGCATTATCATCTTATTCGGTAAAAATAGAACACAAGTTCATTCATTCCTGTGATACACATAACAGAAGTTAGCTAGAAGCCTTTAGATATCAAATGATATAATAATACATTTATCAGTTTAAAATTACCTCGCTTGGTGTCGTTGATCCACGAGCCCGACAAACAGGACAGACATAATTCAACCCACAAGTTCCATTTGTCTCTTCACTAGTAGCAGATAACGGTGAAACTGTAGTCTGATTAGAAGACGGATCACACTCTGCATGAACCATACGAGAACACTGAACACATTTTTTTCCAGGCCAAACTAGGAAAGTACTATTAGAATTTCCAATAGAATTTTCAGGTAACTAAAAGCCAATAAAAATTTATTATTTGTTTGTGCAAATATGGTTATTAGTAATGCTATATAGAATATCTTATAGACCTATTTGAGTACTGGGATTCAGAACACAAACAAAACCGCATATTTATTGGTTAGAATTCACTGTGTCGGATGGTCCTTAGGATTATACTCGAATAGATATTTTATATTGAACAAGCGAGAGCATCGTAGTAATATAATCCAAAGACCGAAACAATTACTAAATTAGTATCACTCAGGGAAAAATATTTGTTTTATACTGCAGATGTTTTGAGTAGATTACTTTTCCGGTTAGTAATTTGAGGACAGAACACACTTAATGGCATTTTACTCATCATTTTCTGTACAACGTGAAAGTCTATACCCTTCATAAAGAATTAATAATACTGAAATAAGCCCTTGGAAAACAAATAAGACTCAAGTGACTCTACAGATCAGTTGTGTTCTGTACGACTTTGTGATACAGTCAGTGAGTGGTGCAGGTTCGACGGACAGAGAGAATATGAATTTCAACAACATTGTGTGGTGAGAGCTGCCTGTTACTCAAAATTGGTGGACAGTAATTTACGTCAACGTTTATGTTGCCAATATTGGTCGTGAGAAAAATGAGAACAAAGACTCTGTGTAGGAGAAAACAGTTAACATATGGATGATCTGACATTCAAGAAACAGTCACAAAGATATACAAGGTCAACTTTCTGTGAGAAACAACCAATCGGAAGACTGTTTTTCTGCTAACAATAATCTAGAATATGTACATGAAAATCTATAAATACATGTTGATTTCTTTAATAAACGATCTGTTGCCTGGTCCTTGTCTTCTGTTGTTACAATTGCAGATCACCCTTATTGGTGAGTTTTAACAAGCATGAAACCCATGCCCATGACTTTCAGCCATGAAGTAACAACTTGATAGAACATCACCACTCTGAGAATTAAAAAGTTACAAGGAGATTAACCGCTAAGATGAAAGGTGTAAAATTATATTAAGTATGACAAAATTCTTCAAGAATTTGTAGGCGTATTTTGAACTCACTAGTAACAGCAACAATCTAAGGACAGGATAGCTAATACTCGATAATCACTGAAGCTAAAGGTGACCAAATCTCTTTAATGAAAAACAGTAAAATGATAGAATTGGACATATAATGCGAAAATACCTAATAACTTTCTACCTAACAATGACTTTGTTTCAGGTTCATAACCCCTACAATACTAAGCTCAATAAAAAAAACGAATAAGTGTCCAAAGTTATCATGGTTAACCATTAAATTTAGAATATTTTACCATTTGTCTTAAACGGATCAGTGGCCATCACACACTAGTCAGACAGCTGCAAACTAACGAGAGTTACATAGAATAAGTACACAAATTCACTGAATTAAACGTATTTTGATTGAAAATATTATTTTCACTATGAAGAGTTTCAACTAAGCATAACAGTGACTGAAGCAAAAGGAAAGACAAAATAACAGAGTATATTATATTTCACTATTTAACCGATTAATTAAAACTTACGGGTAATGAGCACCGCCAAGCCCTTTCGCATACCGGACAACATGAATTGGGGCGTTTATGCGTATGAAAACAACGGTCACATAAGGTATAGTTGATGTGCCAACGGATATTTGGATTCTGTAAAAAGAAAAGACATACACATATTAAGACTGTTCATTTTGAATAAGATATACCAATATAGACTGTAATTTACCAATTCATTGTTGAAGGGTACAGGTCCTTCTAGTCCACTTGTAGCAGAAACACGCCCACCTCCACAATCAGAGCAAACACGACATCGTTCACATCGGAATCCATTCTTAGGAATACTTGAAACAGGAGGCTTTAAACAATAAGTATGGTAACCCTTGTCACATATGTCACACACCAACATTTTGTTTTCATCTTTACTTTCACTAAAATTGCACAAACATAGAATTAGTAAAAGAGGAGTTAAAAATATAAAGGCTTATATATACGCACTGAAGAAATATATAGAAGCAATGCTAATGAAACGAATTCATAAGATGTAACAGTAGCTACCACGATTTAGAGATATGTTTTTAGGTCTACGGCAGACAGAAAGACATAAACAAACATCTGGACACCGAAGCCAGTGTAAGTTGAACACGTTGAAGTATTTCTTTAAAGCTTAATCAACACAATACTCCTTCAAATTCTTTAGTGTTTGTGAAATTAAAAACCTCAAACACATTTTGTTTATTATTTTGATCAAACTGCAGAACACAGTACGGATGTGTATGCTGGTCTATGATGAGCCAAAGCTAACTCACGAAAACGTACGGACTTTACTCAGCTGAAATAAGTCTAGTGCTTAGTACTTCCATCATAAAATTACAGCACTAATGTACAATGTTTAACCATTTTCATTAAGTAATAGAATACCTATTAGATATAATGGACAAGAATTACTTTTGCTACTCGACAAGTTCAAAACTCACTTGCATATCAAACAGGTCTTACACTCCGCACATTGCCATCCAATGCGAATTGTAGGGCTTGGCTGAAGAGGTGGTTCTAAGCAGGAAGCGTGATAATGGCTACCACAACTAGTACAAAATAAAAGTTCGGTCAAATCACCCAGGGACTCGCACAGAATACATTGCACTGAAGCACAGTCTATAATTTAATGAATTTAAAAATATGCACTGACATTTCAGGAAAAAACAGCAATGGAAATCCCAATAGAAGGTAATATTTAAAAAGTGTTTAGATAAACATGACTCACTACGTATACAAATGTTCATCATCTGAAAGTAAATCCGTTCACGTGCTGGAAGTGGTACCCACCTGTTGTGTAATGAGTCTACCAGAGGATTATTGCCTCAATTGTTGATGAGTCTTTATACAACACTGTAAAAGAACTGGGAGACCTGAATATATGCAATATGCTTTCACGGCAAACGAGACATCCTACAAACGATGAACCAATTAATTTCAGTGACAATGTCGGTGGAAAATATAAATCGTCAGTTCATAAAGTCTTCCGAGAAACCATTCACACGCAACTAGTTAGTGATCGCATACGACATTAACGCTTAACAACACAAATGTAAATTCAATAAAGCTGCAAATAATTAAACAAGCTCAGGATAAAAACGAAGAATGGATACAAAATACAATGAGGTTGCTTTAATTGCAGAAATAATATTAACGAAATATCTCACGAATGATCTTACTTACTCGACGTGGCAGATTCTGAAATATGTACTGGACATAGTAACTCTAACGTTTCAATATCCTGCAGACAACCAGCTCCTGCTGCACATAAGAAATGAAAGACTGAGTTGCATCCACTAACACGACAAGATATACTTGCTCCATTCCGGAGACAAAGTGAACAACTCTGGGACAATGCAATATTTGCTGCATCCTCGACACCTTCAAGAACCATCTGAATAAACAAAATAATGGGAATTTAGTTGAAATTAAAGCATTACAGACAATCAGTTATCACTGGAACAGTCAATTGTATTGTTTGACAGCCAGAAATTCACAGACGAACCACATGTTTACATATCTCAACAGATATTTTAACTAACTTAATTTCACTGAATCCGGGAGTTCCGATATGAACAAACATACGTGAAAGAACTCCACACTCTATTCAACTGCACCTTTATTGAAAATAAAGCGCACATGAGTATAAACATTGGTCTAACCCAAACAAACTTTGTTGGAGGTATTACGTCGTGATTTAGAAATGTATTCACTTTTAAATCTTACCACTTGTTATTTATAACACAGGCCATTATAATATAAGCGCCAAGAGATAAGTCACGAAATAAGACAAGGTAAAAAATAAAATAGTTTTGGGACAACTGAATGAGAACAGGTAAGCGTAATTTTCGAGAGCATTCAAAATGGCGTTTATGTGATATTACTTTCACATAGATAAACGAGAAAACTGATGTGCGCTCGTCATTGGTTTCGATTCCGAACCAAATCTGATCACGTCTTGAGACATCAAGTTACACGAACTATCATCTTCATCCAGAGGATCAAGACAGGCCGGAGGACATTGACCAAACTCAACCATACTTCACTCCTTGACTCCTTATCACTGATCACTTCGCTTTTTTATCTAGTCCCATAGCTAGGAAACAGTAGGCACTATGAAAGTCGCTCGGAAGAAATTCGTAGCACATGTCTAAACTATCGTAACCCATGTCTAGAAGTGACATCAGTCTTACTAACCTTGAAACTACTCGCAAGAAACATCAAGGTCTACCTCCCACTTAGAGAGCGATCACCGTTAACCAGCTTATACCATTTCTTACTACGATTACGTGCAGGAATATAACTTATCAATGACGAACCTCACTAACTTTAATAAAGCTTCTGTCAGTGGGCCCTAGATTCGAATTCCATTTCACCAACTTCAAATTACGTGCCTGAATGGTACCACCAAGAAGTGTAGCATATAGCCCGGTATGCGATAAATCCTGTCTGAGTATCTGATTAAAAAACAATACGCAATAAAATAGCTCCACCAACAACCAGTCAGGTTGCGACCATACCATTAAACTTTGAAAATAACTCAGAACAGATGCCTTGCAGTTCTTCCATACTAGTTTGTTTATTATATATATTTTCAAGTATTGGTTTTGTTGGGATTTTGTTTGATTGGATGGAGGATTTCATCCATTAAATAACACTGTTTCACTGTGATATATCTAATAAACAAACTAACATGGAATTACTTACTACCACAGTGCCCAAGATTTACACATACATTTGACAAAATTAAACTGTAACAGTGTTAAATGAGATGAGTTTAAGACCCGAAATTTAAAATTGTTTGAATTACTTATAATCACAATAAATTGGATACTGTGATAATTTAAAAGGAAGAAGAGCACCATTGGAGGTACATTATACAACTAATTATCCTAATAATCCATAGCTCCATAGTTTACTCAAAAAACTTGATCATGCTTACAAAACCCTTGGAATATATTTATTAAAATCAACCAGAAAAACCTGCAACCAGTAAAAGAGGAATTTTCTGTTGCAAAATATACTCACCTGTTCGTTGAAATGGACACCGTTCGACCATGATGCACAACAATGGTGTGCATAAATCCAACCACCTTCTTCACCTTCACGAGGGGTACACTTGACAATCAAATTACTAAGCTGTAGACATTCACTACCAGTTACAGCAGCAGGCCAGCCAACATAATTCAACTCTTCCACTAGACCAAATGGTCGACCGTAACAGTCAAAAAATGGCGTGGGCATTCCCGAAAGCCAAGGTTTACAGTCATAACTATGGATTATATCATCACGTAAACTGAACATACCCGAAAGAATTTTTGTTCTGGCCTCGTTGACTCCCATCAAGAGATAAGTGGGGACCCACTTTACAGGCGTTTGAGTCAGTAGGTAGAGTTGAGCAGGTGGCTATAACCACTCTACTATGTTGATTTCGCCGATTTGTATGTGTCAAACGATTTGTCACCAAAATATTAGTACACCTTTCTTGCCTCAGCTTTACTTTGCTAACATGATCTTTGTACCATGCAGGAGGTTCGGAGTATTCAAGCTTTGTATGGAACCGAATCAGTTCACCTTGCCCGAGATTTAAATGTTCACTTATTCCACAGAAGACACAACATGCTGAAGATACATCATTGTAACTATGTGATGGTTGTATTTCATCTGAAGGTTGACAAGGAGGTGTTGAAATTTTGCTATCGCTACATTCATTTTGTTTATCCCTGAAATTCCATAATAATTAAACATTACCAAACTAACCCAACTATATATTTCGTAGGGTCACCAGGCTCATTGTCATCAACCCCCATGCTGCAGCACACTTAAACCACACGTAGAACAGTTCTTATGTTGGTGATGAGAGCGACAAAGGTTCAGAAAAATCACTTCGGACTGACCATTTGGGGCTGATATTAACAGTAATTCAGGTTACCTTTCAGAACATTAGCAGATAAGGAGCAAACGTTAAAGTCAATCAAAGCCGTAACATTTATGACATATATATGTTTGTGAGTGAGAAACCGTATATTTGATAGTAAAAGCAATAATGCAAGGATAATTACAAATAACAATTACAAGTAGACACTTACTTCGCACTTCGCGGGTTGCTTTCGTGTGGGTCTTAAACAAACTGCACAAGCAAGCTATCTAGATACGAAAATACCAACCCATCTTACGATAAAATAAAGGATTCCAAACGAATTCAATAAATTCAAATGGACTTGAGACTGCTATCGGAGAGTTTTCTGAACTGCACAACTTTTACTTGTTAATTTATCTTCGCACTTTAAGATACCCTATTCCGAGCAAACAGGAAATGGGTTGCCACGGAAATATTTCAGAAGTCAAAGAGTGAAATGCAGTTTGTTTATTTTACTTGTACTGCACAAAGGTGGCAAACACCCCAATACTGAAAACCATCCGACTACGTGAGATTTTTTACCCATAAGCACCTGATCTGTTTGAAGGACTTCTTTTAAACCAAATTTCGTATTAAAATGACTAACAACAGGATGATAAAAGTTTTTCATAACATTTAATATGACCCTGGTATTACATGTTTGTTTTATAGATTCTGAGAAAAAATTATTGATGGTAGTTAGCAAATGTGCTAGGATTACCCTGAAGGATGCCAAAGTACCCTCCTGGTAGTATGCCTCGGATACAGTAACTTAGATCTTAAGTTGTTTGGAATGCCACGATTAGGTCGCCTTGGTTCTACAGTACCTAAAAGTATCTAGGCTCAGGTTTTGGAGTCAATCGTCAAGCAGTTATCATTCCAGCCTAGGCAAAGTTTTCCAGCTGTTCTCCAATGAACGTGTTCTAAGAGGCTAGCATTGCCTTTTTTTAGTGGAGGTGCAGTGATGTTATGGTCTATATATGGCTGCAAGGAAAGTCTAGCTATAAGAGCACTCAGATGCGTTCACATGAATTAAATTGCTTTGGCGGAATCTCTAAAATGTTTAATGCTTGTGCCTAGTTTGTCAGAAGTTATCAGAGTATATTTGTGAGACACAGGCTGCGTATGAGCCACAGAAGGATATTTTTGGATTAGTGCACAAGCAATTGTTACCCAATGCATCCTGACATTAAAAGCTAGCCCATTTTCTATATCCTAATTTTTCAGAGAAGGATCTTGTTAGACACCAAATCGAAGACTTTCGCAAAGTCTAGAAACAAATGCGCACCGGGACAATCTAGTCGAGGTCCATCTTCAAATAGTTTAAGCCTACAAGATGAATTGTGGAGCGGGTCCCATCCATCACTCAAACGCATTCAAAGTAATGCACAATACTGTTTCTGTTCAGAAGCTGCTTGACGCATTCATCGGACAGGTTTTCCATCACCATGAGTATAACTGGCAGCAAAGCAATAAATTCATGGCGCCTGGGATATTTAAGACCCCACCGCTGATGAACAGTCCACCTCAAATCCCTCTGTAACTGTTATCTGTCTTATAAATGTATAAACACCTAACTATATTCGACGATAGTGTAGAAATTTAATCTCAAAAATATCTAGTTGAGCTAAATTGTGCCAAGACTTCAGGCATACCGGCGTTGTTAAGCAGACTTCACAGCTCATCGTTTAAAGATTTGCCTGCCTCTAGGTAGCTTAGAATCCTTAATTCACGGTACATACCTCCTAAACAGTAGCTGTCCTTTGATACGGTCCATACAGGTCTTAGAGTTGGTATACGGTTCCCAGGATAGGTTTGGCCGGGATGTTCTCCTATCCACTCGAAATTCAGTAATGCACACATTTCTTAGGGCCATGTATGCGGCGTAATCTCTGTCCTTTATCTCTAGTCTCCATTTGTACCACACCTTCTGAAAGAGACACTCTGTACTCTTCTACATCTGATATTTTCTTCATGGGCTGTGAGATAAGGAATCGATTGCAGTTTTCAGGACGCCCCCCTTCACACATACACACATCCGGTGCTCCATCACTGTCAGTGAATGGTACACTCTTGGTCAAGAGGTCTACTTGGGAGCTTACATCAATTGGTTAGAATCTGGTTTTACTATATCAGCACAGTCAATCGTGACTAGTGACCACGTAGGGCACCTTGAATGTTTGAACTTCTGTTTCAACGCATTCATGTAATGTGGCCCCGGGCATTCACTGTTCTTCCGGCGTGAGTGCTCGTACATAGCTTGCTTCCTCGTTTGCCGTCATTAGGAGTAGTCTTGAGCCAGCTGATCCAGGCAACAGATGAGTTGTACAGCATTCTTATCCATTAAATTTGACACTTAGTCTGTGGTAAAACTATAATCGTCATATGAGCACAACACCCAATCACAAGCCTTTTCACTTTGAGTTCGCTTATCGTTACTTACACGTTAGGTAGGGATCTGATCAAGGTTGCCCGATAAAAGCATGTTTAGTAGTGTCAGCCACGTCTCGTAAACCGTTAATGCCCAGCTCTTGCTACGCTCGGGCTCACGCTGTCGCTTGAAGTTTCTCAGAAATGCTTAGTAATAACGGACGAAAAAACCAAAACACCAATTGTTGACTCGAGGATTCTTTATTGTTACACCAACATATAAAAAATATTTCCACTAAGGTCTGTGAACAAATATTACAATAATAAATCACAATATTACTTCTGACGGTTTTGTCCTGACTTCTTTCTGAACAGCGACCGATGAGACGATGACTGTCGTATTGGTGCCTCCGCGAAAATTGTGGAAGTTGGTTTTGAGCAAACAACCATGAATTGATCGTTCAATCTTCAACTACATTGACACTCCCCGGCAAAATGGGATCCAACCTTTTTTTCCATCACGACCAATACACGTTGACTTGGATGCCATTGCGAGAACCTGGGTCACACGGACAGAGCTGAAATGGAAAACAAACAGAAAAGCCAACACACCACAAGCATACCCACAGCACAATCTCACACATCAATGACGACCTGCGCCTTCCAGTTAAAGGCATCCTATTGCAACACAATCGCCACTTGCTAGAATGACTCTTGCAGAATGCAACGTGACCATAGCACCACCTCATGATACTCCACGCACATCCTCTTATCTACTCACTACCAATTACCACTGCAATCGCTTGTCACTCATTCTGCCTCAGTTCTAGTAACGGTGACGTATGCGAGCCTCAGTCGTTTACACTCTTTCTCCCCGGCGTGTGGGACCGCAGCTAACAATTATCTCCGTATGCATTTCATTCTCAGCAATAGCCTCCCCGGCGTATACGACCCATCTGCTGTCTTTAACATCAATCAATTCATTCACGGATGTAGAAGACTAGAAACAACTTCAGAAGTAATCACGACGAAAATTTTAACAAAATTACGCAATAACAACAAGGTACGAAAACAACGAGTAAACACAATGGATCCAAAAACACCAATTGATAGGACACACCACACGTATATACAAACAGTACAAACAAACTCGCGGATCATGTCTTGATGGAATTCCTTTGAAGAATCGCAGGACTTACACCAGTACGCCTACAACCCTTCTCAGGTTGATGATCCAAGTGGAAGTCGTCCGGACACAAACAGAATTACCAACAGCTAGATGACAGATGATATCAATTCAGTATATACAATATGAACATATGTACAAAATCACACACCAAGCACATTGGACTGCTCACTGATGCGCTACCCTTTGAAGAATTGTAGGACTTACAGCAGTACGCCTACAACCCTTCTCAGGTTGACGCTCTAGGTTGGAAAATCGTCGCAGAGTTCATTTGCTGACTTCCTTCTATCAGCTATATCCTCAAATCTGAACGGTAACACGCTCATGTCATTGTATCGTAGAATATAGATGACGAACAAACACACGACGTATCTGGTCAACCAAGCGTAGGCACAGAGTAATTTACACCAAAGATAATAGCATTCAAATAGTAACTTGAAACTAGAAATGCCTTTATTCATGCAAGTCAATTTAACAATTACTCTCTCGTTTACACTTGGCTTATTCTCACTAAACTGAGCAATATCTTTCGTCTTTTCAAATGCACCAATACTATCAAAATCATTGCACAAGATACTTGAGTTGATGGGCGTCTGTTTCATTGTGGATGACAGCACCAACGACGACTGATTGATATCAGTTGATGAAGTTAGCGGTGGATCAAAAGCTGTTGTTGCTCGACTTTCAGAAAGTTGTCTACCTGCAAGACCACCACCACTGCTGTCTTTTACTATCAGCTCAGGTTTAGCACTAGCATCTGATGATAGGTGGGCTACATGCTGATCACTCACACTGACGGTCTCACAAGTATGCATGCCTTCTGCAACTGCATCTGCATTTATTTCTACTTCACGTTCAAGTTGTACAGAACCTTTATTTAACTTAGCAGTAGTAGGCATTCCCTCCATTTCATCATGATCAACCAAAGACAAATCTGCACTATCATGATCATTATCACAAATATTCAATTTACCATCAACTTCATCATTTTCAAACTCTTTAATAACAGAAGTAGACAATTTTGGTTCCTCCTCACAAATCATTAAAGGTTTTATATCTTCACTCTGACTAGTAATACCTTGTAAACTTGTGGAGTCAGAACTGCACTCTGAAGCAGCAACTCTATTCTGTGACACTCTATTCAACAATGGCTTACCAGTTGCAACTACAGACTTCTTGACCGCACCGTTATCGTCACACAATTCGGAGTCAGGCCTGGATTTCACATTTAGCTTATCACTGAACTTGCTCACTGGTTCACAGTTCACCTTTGTATGCACTTCTTGCAAACGTGTAAAACACAACCGTGTTTGTCTTGCATCTTGTAACTTATCTGTTGAGGATGTACTACGAAACCTGTTACACTCACTAGGTCTATATGCATTACTAGACATCATGGAGCCTTCTCGATATCCACCTCTCTGAGGCCTATTCGTCATCAATGATTGCGTTTTACCCTCAGACTGCTCTATTCTAGGGGTGAGATTCAATATACTGGCAAACTTGCTCATAGATTGATTGACACTATCTTTTACTAGTTTCAGGATATCATCAAATTTTGGCTCGATACCCTCATCCTCCATACGGGAGCTTATCTTCACCCACTTCCTTTGCAGTCGAGTAGGTAGGCGTCTTGCTATTACTTCTAGTATAAAACTCGAGTTGAGGTC